GAAGAAGGGAAATCAACTGACACACACTGACACAGTACAGAAAGACACCATCGTGGTCAGCGTGGGTGATCGCAGTAGAAACTGACAATTTTGACAGGCTAGCTATCTATAGGTTACGTACATAATATGTCCGGTGCAAAGGACGAAAGGTTGAAATGTCAGATTCTACTATTTGCAGTTCAATGTGACATTTTTGATTTTGTCAGGAAAGGTCCTAGTCATAGGGGTACATTTAGATAAAATTATAATGAAACATTGTGCCGTGGCCTGAGTGGGTTACTTCCATAAAAAAAATTTCAAACAGCAATAACATACATTAAAATCTACTAACAACTGAAAAATAGAAATGAACTAGACAATGTGCATGCTTTATGATAAAATAAATATATCTATAAATAATTAAACTTCCATCTGATTAAAACTCAGATCCTATTTGAGTGTTTCGTTTTTTACAATTCAAAATTTCATTTTGTCTTACTACGATAGGCTGCTATAGAGTCAAAAGCCACTTGTATGAACCCTGACACAACCTCCCACTACAACTGGTCAGATCTTCATGTAGGAATGCCAGTCAAGTCGTCCACAAATGATGCTAGATTTATAAAGACAATAGATATGGATGTAGAAGGGGCCATTTACACTTTTCAGTTTAATCGGTTTAATTCCACATGGATTTGTTTGTAATTGATTGGTTATTAAAAAAAATTGTTGACCAATACCACATTTTTCAGTCCAATCTTGATGTTTCGTTGACAACAGACAGAACCAAAATATTGTACAAGAACACTGTCTAGTTCATTGGGTTCTTGATGGATTCGCCAATATGGGATTTGTCACTTCCTGGTTTTAATGCATACATACATTTGTTGTTTATTTTAAGGATTGGTCAATTAAAGTTGTTATATTAAGGTTCCTGTCTAGTCTATAGCCTACATATACCTCATCAATTCGACTGAATATTTTGCTTGAAATCTCCAGTATTGACAGTCTGTTAGGTTTCTCACACATGGTACCTTCCATAATTAGCTAATTACCACTGTGTTTATATATATATTGGGGGGTAGATGGCCGAATGGTTAGAACGTGCGCGTTGTACATTGTATCATAAGGCCTGTCATTGAGTTAACTGGCGTGGTTTCGATTACCTGGTTGTATGTGACAATAGTAGGGTTGCCTGTCTAACCTTGTGAATTTTCTCTGGATCTTTCAGTTTCCTCCTAATAATAAAGACCCCTATGCACAAGTGAATTATTGAAATAAAATTGAACCATATGTTAGTCCCAAAATGACCTACACATGGTTTGTATTAGTGGTGGTTAAAATCTCTCCCTCTTTCTACAGTACATGTATATAATTAGGCATTTGTGGTTTGAACTATTGAAGAGTACAATTAATTACATCTCATAATTTTGATGGGTTTTTTTTATGTTGGAGAGGATGATGACTTTAGATTTAAACTGAATAAAAACTAAATCCCATGTACATGTACCAGATTTTGAAATTGCTCTGTACCCCATAATTTGTGTACATATTTTGAAATTGGAAACCCAGTAAGTACAAAAAATACTCATTTATTTACATTATTTCATGTTAAAGATGGGTTCCCAGAAAAGTATTTATCGGGTGGTTATTTCCAATAAAAGTATGGTAATTTTGGTAGTTATGGAAACTAGAGATATCCAATCTTACTAGAAAAATACCGATTCCATGAAGAACACTCATGGAGCGTATACTGGACAAAAATGTAAGGGTTCCCTAATCGACAGCCCGACGATTAGGAATTTCTGCATGCGTGATGTCAAATGTCACACGCGAACATTGAGCGCTTGAAGTACAAGTTGATAAACTTTATGAAGAGTTAGACATACAACACTTTCTGAGATAAAAATGAAGGAAAAAGACGCGGGTAGTGGATAATCCGAGAATTTAATTAGGATTCGATATTTGTAATAAATAGTAAGCGGTTAAAGACAACATCGTCTTATGTATGCAATGAATTCTCCTCTGACGTCCAAGAGAGGTAAGTCACGTAACGTAAACATGACCTGGTTTGATCGAATTTTTATAGCAGGACATTCTTTCGCAATTTACAATGTTTAAGAAGGATTTGAAGCAAAATTATGACAAATTAATTAGTTTGAATATGTTTTTAGTCCATATACATGTATACCATTAAATCACCCAGTTTGTACGCGGGAACCCATCTTTAAATGGTTAAAATGTCTCACAGATAACACATAAAAACTATATTTTAGCAACTTTATTTGTAAAATATAATCCAAGCTAAGAATGCAATTATAGGCCTTTGTAACAAGTTTTTATGTGTTTTTCTCATTATCATGAAAAATGACTTGCTACATGTAGGTTTTCCATGTCACTGACGATATTCAATACTGGGTATGTACATGTACACTTAATACACAAGGACACAAATATTTAAACAGTATACAAACTATTATATTACACATGGATTATATATCCGTATTACGGGAAGTTTTTATTCATTGGTTCGTTGTTAACCTATCAAATCTAAAAACATGACTACAATGTGGGTGACATGTGAGTGGTTTTCCTTGCTGAAAGTTTCGGTTTTTCCTTACACTTCAAATAATTTATGATTAATCATTTTGACTAGTCCCTATAACTGTTGGTAGCTTGAAATCGGGTGGTAATAAATACATTTATTAGTATTAATACTAATGTAAATTGTGTAATAAGTTCATTATGTAGAGTTCACATGAATAGTACTGTGTTACAATCTTTCCAGTTTTAGTGGCAACACTTCCATGTATACATGTATGTAAGTAGAATATTGATTAAACCGTATTTCATTTCACTTCCATGTATGTTGTAAGTTTATATGGCCACATTGAAATTGTTGTCACAATTTCTTGTGGACACACTTGAAGATAAAATTATCATCTGATTGACTCTTATACGTTGTACATGGAGTCAGAGTTTATATTCATGAGATGTTGATTTCTCCTCCAATTCTGATAATTACTTACTTTGTTGTTGCCCTTGATCTCTATGAAAAATCATGTGGATGTTTTAGTTGTTATCCGATTTGCTTGAAAATGAACATTTCTGTTTGAGATGAATCCTATTGATTTTATAAAGATTATTGATAGTTATTTAGATACTTCTTGCCCTTGGTCATGCTGAAAAATCTTTTGGATACTCAAGACTCTAGAGGCTAAACTGCTGGAATTTTTAGAGGACATGCATGTAGCTATGTGTGTGTTTTTTTTGTCTGGCAACCTATCTTGTATTTTGTTTTTAAGTAGATGTTGACAGTGACATTATAATACATTTATTCTCATGGTGTAGCCCCAGGCAATATTATTTTATTTTATTTAGTAGTCAAGACTCACACAGCAACTCATTCACATTACATTGTACATGATTAAGGCTAAAAAAAAAACATTGCAGATTTCGTCATACGTGTACATGTAGGTTATGAGATGCTGTTGCCCATATGTCTTTCATTCATTTAATTTTATTATTTTAAACCCATTATAAACCACAATGAGTTCATGTACTTTATAAGATAGCTTACAATAAGTTTATCATTAATCTTATGAAGATTCAAACAGTTCTATAAAATATTTGAAATTATGTTGCAATAAATCACCAGTGACAAAATTAGGTCAGTGTACGAAATAATAGACATTTTATGTCTAGGTGTCTATAGTTCTACATACATATAAATTATGTTTGTACAACCCAGGTTTCTGGCAAAATCCAGTCAAGTGAGAACTAGGTAGAGTTTACTGTAGTCGTTTATACATTACTAGAAGAAACCATTCAACTATTTCACACGGTTTCACCTACATGTACCTTATGAAAGAATGTCTAATGTATTAATATGATAATAGCCATTCGAATATATATCCTAGAGGTCTTTCTTACATTAAATACAAAAATAATGTGTGAGTAATATTAAGATACTTTCCCACATAAGTATATGTAATTACAGTTATCTCCAATAAAACTATGGCATATTTGCTATAGAGACACTCAGTACATCATACATGTACATACATACATGTACTAAAAAAAATACTGAATTAGAATTCGTAGAAAAAAACACAAATGGGGTGCCCACAGGATAAAAGTGTAAGGGTGTCCCTAACTCAAAATCCAACCTCGTGGGTTTTCTCCGGTTTCCTACCACTGCTAAAGACCCATACACTCAAGCGAATTATTGAAATAAAATTGAACCATGTGTTAGTCCCCAAATGACCATAGTTTGTGTCAAATGGACATTAAACCCCATTTCAAACTCTCTGTCTCTCCCTAACTGAAAAATACATTCTGTTTCTAACTTTAATAATACATGTAGCCTGCATGTGATAAGCCTACTACATGTACATGTACATGTACATTGTTGTAATAGGCCTACATGTATATGTGGATACAATTGTAGGTCAGGAGTAGATATTATTTCCAAATGTACCTCTTTTTCCTGGATGACTTACATGTATTCTATATATTCCTTTTCTTCCTAAGCATTCCCAGAGTTTCGTATCTTTAGACAGGTTCCGGGAGGTTCTCTCCCCCCCGGGCGAAGCAAATTTTGTAGATTTCTAATGGCCTTTGCATCAATTTTTAAGTTGGGTAAATGTACATTTTCTTGTTAACTGGTTTCAGGATTTATTTATCATATAACCTTTTTTTCCTGGATAAATATTCATGCTAAAGGAAGAATATATACCCCTCATGGTGTAGGTACATTTACGTGTGTGTATTTTTAATTTAGGTACAAAGTATATGAAGATCGATCAAATCATAAAATACCTCCTTGTGATTTGGTGAAAAACAGAATTATTTTACACAGGAGTGTTTTACATGGGAGTGTCATTTATAGATTTAAAAGAGGCCATAAATTTATTCTATTCTTGTGTGTTTACAACAATGTTTGTGTTTTACTTAAACTTTTAGTGCGTACTTACATGTACATATAAGTTAAAGCTGTTTATCCATGTATTTAGGTCAAAGTTCTCTTGACTTTTGGACTGGTTGACACTATTATTTCTAGAATGTACATGTACCTGTACTCATTACTTGATAAAGACTTAAGAAGTGGTTGAAACCTGCTCAATAATAAGCAGTAATTGTATTCCATAGAATTGTGACCTGTATATTAAATAATTTGGAGGATAAAGGTAGTTGAGAAAAGATTTTTATTTTGTTATTTTTGGATCAAAGTATTTTACCAAGGACAAGATTTACTTGTGATATTTTTCTATCAGGTATTTAATTAATTTTGTTTTTTGTGTTGATGATAAGAGACCAGATTGATTGATATATTATAATTGGTGATGGTTTGTTAATACCGGTAATACATGTAACTAGAAGTTTTCCCCAACTTGTGTTGATGATAAGAGACCAGATTGATTGATATATTATAATTGGTGATGGTTTGTTGGTAATAACTAGAAGTTTTCTCCAACTTTGCTTGGTCAAAACTGTATTTGATAATAAATAAGCTTTGAACTTAAAAGTTTAAAGACTTATTGTTGTTCATAGATACATGTAGATGTGTATTACTTCTACAACACTACGAAATACATGTATATAATGATTTCGGGGAAAAAAAACTACGATGCCATCTTATGTGTCGGATTGTCACTGGATTTGAATCCAATCTGCTGCTCAACGATCATTGATGATTAAATAAAAAAATGGATAATCGAGACTCTTTTTTATCGTATCGTCTTTAGTAATGATGACCGAGGCTAGACTGAAAAATCAATCGCTAATATCTTGGTTCAGAGTTGAGCAATTTGACTGAAATTTTCAGCATATTCCCTTTACATTATCTAGTTTTTAACTACATGTATTGTAGTGAGAACTGCCAGCTCTTTATCTGATCTTCCATGATGTATCTTTATAATGTCTTTTGTTTGTGTTTTTCAGGGTAGTTTGTTGAGATATTTTATTTAATCATTGACGTAAACAAACCAAGATGTCTGTTGAAATAGAAGCAAATACGTCAACCATCATTGAAAAAAAATACACCATGTTTTTATCACATAATCACGGTCGGGACATTAACATAAAGCAGGAACCCGTAGAATCTTCAGACTCGGAAGAAAACGACAAAAGCGAATCTGATTTAGACGATAGTGAAAAGTTATCCGCGATCATGATTAAGTGTAAAATTTCTTCAACTGAATCCAAAATTCTTAAGGAAAATGACGATAAGAAGGAGGATGCATGTGAAAAGGAGATCTGCAGTAAATTGTCAAAAGTTACGTTGAAGGAGAAGAATGATGACGGAAAAGATATTGAAGTCATTGTAGAGAATATTAAAAAAGAGGACGAATGTAGAGAAAAGAAAAGAGCTCTTGGCTCTAATGGTTTGGATACTCGAGGCCCGACAGGCGGAATACCAGCAACGTTCTCTCAAAATCAACACATTGTTCAAACTCAGTATCAAAATGGCTACTCATATTCACAGAGCATTCCATATTACCAACAACCACAACAGAATCAATATGGAGGATATGACAACAACCAATATGTTAACAATATGACTAATGGTAAACGTCGACCTGAAGAAGATGACGAGACACCTTATAAGTATCAAGCTCCAAATATTGTACGTGAAGGTATGAATAATTTGAATATACCCGTAAACATACAACCCGAGAATGTTACCAACCAATGTCACATGTCAGGTGGAATGATGTCTGTTCAAAACACATTCATGGATGCAGGTGGAATGTTGTCGGCTGAACCTGCGCCATTTTCTCCCTATATCCCATCAGTTGAGGGCGAAGACCTCTGTAATTTTGATTTTGCGAATGCCTTTATTGGTAATGAAGAGCCAAACAACCAGAACTTCACAACCCCACCATTTAGACAGATACCGTTAACCAACTGTGAGAGTGTTTCTCCAGATTTTTTACAAGATGGCGGAAGTGAAGGGTACGGCAGCCCTGGACACGAGTCTCAATATTCAACCATGGGTGTCGATTCCCCTGCTCCTCGCTCAAATTTGTCAGAAGACAGTGGCATCTCCAGCCCAGATAATAGAAACTTGGATGCAGCAAGTCCGAGCAGCAACATGTCTGTTAATTCAGGCAGTCCAAAAAGTAATGTCTACGCTCCTAATCTGGGCATGCCCCAGCAATACACAAACACTGACTCCATGTCCTGCGATCAGACGACACATTTCTCAAATTATCAGACGACTGAGGTCAATCCACAACCTTCAGACTGCGACTGGGAAGATCTCCTTGATATTGTTCACCAGGATGAGATTAGAATGGAAAATAAAAAAAGACAACAAAGTGGGGAGACACATGTGACAAATTCCAGCAATAATTTGAAGGATAATTTGAATCCTAACACTATACCCACTACATTGCCACGAACCTCGGTGAACGTTGTCACTGGAAATTTCAACACAATCAACAAGCCAGCCAGTCAACCGGTCGTGATGCCTCAAGCATCAGTCAATAATTGTAAGCCATTCATACCAGCGACTCCTGTCAATATGGGTACTCCTGTTGCTGTGACATTGCCGCCAATGGGTAATTCAAATCAGAGCGTACCTGTTAACACTGGACAAATTTTTTTTATAGCTCAAGCTCCTCAACCTGTGTTTCTCGTCAACCAAGGTCCCTTAATGAATAAACAACCAGCCAAAAGACCAATCAAGCCGAATTACGTCCCCATTCGACCAAAATTAGATCCTGTAGCTTCTAAAGAATCACAACACAGCTCCCCGGCACATTCACCGAAAAGTTCCGAGTTAAAATCTCGAGTACCGGCAACTGTGACAGCAGCAGTGAAAGATAACTCAACAGTTCAACCTGTGACCAACAAAAAATCTCCATTACCACCATCTTCTACTACATGTCCATCAAACAATGTTGTAAATACATGTAAGTATATTTCATTGGTACATGTACATATAGTAATCCTAGCTCTAGGACATTTCGTCCCAGGACAATTCATCCCGGACAACTCGTCCCAGAAGACAAATTATCCAAGGTCGAATAGTTCTATGGGACAAATCGTCCTCGGGGACGAGTTGTCTGGGGATAAATTGTCCTGGGCCGAATATTTCTGGGACAAACTAGTGGGCTATGAATAGTCCAGAGAGGCTTCTAGTCAATTTATTGTACTTTAAGTTACGAGTAAGTTACATGTAGCCTACTACATGTATGTAGTCAGTTTTGGAGCATTTACTGGCTTCGATCAATGGATACATGTAACAATAATTTTCTGATGAATTCTTTTCCCATCGACTAAAGATTGATTCATATTAACACATGACCTACTTGCATGTATATAATCAGTGAGCTGAAAAAGAGCTACAATTGTCATTAATTGTATATGTAGCAATCACACCTCACATTAACCAATGGTGAATGTACATCAGGGGCATAACTCTTATCGTTATGTACATGTAGCAGACAGATTCAGACCACAATTAAAAATCATGTGTCTATACTATAGATCTACATGTATAATGATTGTTTAATGAAATAATATTCCCTTGGTTACAGTGTTCAGAGTATTGATACCGATTAGATTCATCTTTCATAACATGTATTTATCTTTTTTCAGCATCATCTTCCCAAAGTAAAAAATTAAATGTAGCAAGACGACATATTGCTAAATTGACCAGCACTGATTTGAGATTTCAAGATGATGAGGGAGATACGTAAGTTCATTTTAAAATTTGACTAATAAAATTTGACATACATGTACATGTAAGAGAACACTTGTCGAAACGTTGGAGGTGTACAAAGTTGGCCAGTATTTTTTGTGGTACATGTAATCACATATATTAACTTAGTTTTCGGTACACATCATGGGACATTGGTGACTGAGTCTTGGTGTTTTAACTAAACTATCATCACCATATAATAGAACTCACACAAATCTTTTAAAGGAAGTTTGAAAACTCATTTGTGTAAATTTGAATATTTATAAGTGATCAAGTTTACTAGTGGATGAATACATTGTACATGTAAAGATGATGTCTTGAGTATGTATTTGTGGATGTAATCAGCAAGATATATACTTGTGTACAATATTATCATGATTTTAAATTTATTTACAGATATTTACATGCAGCTGTATGTAAAGACAGTAATAATATAACTGACTTTGTTCAAGCATTATTAGAGAGGTTAGAGAGAGAAAAATTAATAGGAATGATTGATGTTTTCAACGTACGCCGACAGGTAATTATCTAAAAATATTATAAATTTGATAATTATTTTGTAGACACCATTAGATTGTGCTGTGAGTGTAATAATAAACTATAGATAATTTGTAGACACCAATAACTTGTGCAGTTTTTGTAATAAACTATATTTATTTTGTAGACACTGTTACGTTGTTCTGTGAGTGTAATAATAAACTATATTTATTTTGTAGACACCATTATATTGTGCTGTGAGTGCTAATCATCCTAATATCATAGAAATGATGATAAGATATGGAGCTGATGTCAATACATTAGCTGAGGTAGGTAGACTATGATATAATGACAGTAATTCATCAGGTTGTCGTATTGAAATAACTGTAATACAAATAACATCTAGGGAACTTGGTGTTGGCATTCAAGTAGCTAAGTTGCTATGGTTATTCACCAGTTTGTCATATGGAAATTACTGTAAAACAAAAAAGATTTAGGGAATTTGGTGTAGACATGCAAGGTTCTTCACCAAATAAAATCATAGTGTATACATTCAAATAGTTTCCAAGTTTATTCAAACTGATTTTTTGGTATTTGTTATTCGATGTCAATTTTTTGTCACCTAAAGTTATAATATCCTGTGTATTTTTAACAGAGAATGGTACATGGAGGTACTGTACGTGAAGTTAGAGCAGCGATTCATGTAGCTGCTTCAAATGGTAAAGAATATCTAGAAACATTAAACGCTTTATTAAAGAGTAGAGAACTCAACTTGAACATTGCTAACTCAGATGGTAAGTGTCCTATATGTTTGTTACACCCACTCTTATTGGATATGATTTAACTAGTTTTAAACATTTGCATACAATAATTACACATTTACAAACAATAATTTAGTTTGTTTTACAAAACATAAAGTGTAGTTTAATGGTCGAGAGTGCGATGTTAAGTAATATTTTGATACTGCACGAGGGCATCAGCCTGAGGATTTCATCAATATATCATGCAATGTCTTGCTACTTAAAATAGACACACGCTATATTTAAGTACAAATAATTTTCTATTGGCATGTTGCCCGTGGATTATTTGAAATATTGGTACAACAGGTAAAAAGGATGACTGTATTTTAAAATAGTGGATTGTCAAATACCGTTGTTACCGGTACAATAATGACTAGGGTTTTTTTTATTATTAAACATTAAAATAATTGATTGTATTAATTACAGGTCAGACAGCCTTACATTGTGCTATATTATGTCATAATAAAGCGAAACAAGACTCAATTGACTGTATTGATAGTACACCTATCATAGAGACTCTAATACAACATGGTGCTGATATTAATGCTCAGGTATGTTGACAGTTTCTGATATCCTGCCTAGAAAATGATCATGTTAATTTCATGTTAGAGGTATTCATACAGCAGTTTTAAGAGTGGTTGCAAATTCTCTCTTATTGTCATAACATGGGCAGTTGGTGGCGCAGTGATATGCAGGCCTTCACGCAAAAGGAGCGCTCTCGCTCTCCTGGATGCAACTATATATTGGACGAGGTGCACTTTTTATCACTTGCCTCAATAGTCTAAATTGAAAGTTCATCGAGATTTTCCAAGGTGGTTTCCCCTCGTCAGTGGTGCAGGGAGTCCAATGGGGCTAACATACACTTTAGATAAAAAGATTTTTAATTGAGTCAAAGTATGTGACTTCGATCTCAAACTTGCATGTGACCAAGAGTAGAGTTGCCTGCTTAATTTGGGGGTTTTCTATGGTTTCCTACCACTACCAAAGAGCAATGCACATTAATGTGATAAATATTGTCATATGTTATTTCAGAGAGGATGTAAACCCCTTGTCTCTTAACTTTTACAACGATACATTTCAAAAATAAAAACTTTTGTCTTTCTTTTAGGATAAAAAGAGTGGAAAGACACCTTTAATGTACGCACTAGAATCTCGAAGTCTTCATCTTATTCACACAGTCGTCAAACAGATAAAACAGGACAAGATGAGAATGTATTTACGAACGCAATCATTCGACGGAAACACGCCACAAAAAATCTTAGAAAGTCTGAAGACAGTACTTGATGTGAATTCATGGCAGAAAGTTCATGATATGTTAATGTGTTCTAACAAAGATATAAATGGATTTAATATCCATCAATAAACAAAGTGAACTCTTGATGAGTCATAGTCATAATTTTACCAATGACGGTAATTTGCATGGTCATAATAGAAGTGAACTCTTGACCTCATCAAGTCATGATTTTATCAGTGATGGGCATAATAGAAGTGAACTCTTGACCTCGTCAAGTCATAATTTTACCATATAAAAGCATTTGAGAAATGGACTACAAAAACATTTTGAGAAATGAGACTTACATGTAAGTTAAATGAGTGTTGAGAAACTGAACAAGTATATCTGGTCAAGTATCAGTGTTTGTTTTAGATATTAAGGTGACTTTTGATGAGTATTTACTTTGAAATATTGCAAATATTCCTGTCTTGTCGTTCGTATACACTGTATATATTGTTAGAAGAGAAATACACCCAGTATAGTCAACTGGTGTATATACCGTAGTTGTTCTATTTGACGCCTTTTAAACTTCACTAAGAAAATATACTCTAACTTGGATTTGCTGTAACATATAGTTTGTTATGTAACGGTTCATAAAATGATCCAATAATTTGCCATAGACTTGAACGCGTCTTCGTGAAGTAAAAAAAAATATTGTGAATCACTAACTAACCAAAGATATGGGAGCAATCCTGAAAATAGGGCACCTGTCACAAAACAATGTCAGACACAACCCGTCTGGTGTCTGTCATTCTCTTGGGCTGATTTGCCATTATTTAGTGTTGACATGTCGGATACAAAATTCCAAATATCAGGTACTAGTTGATAAATTCCTGACCTCGATTTTAGTGTGCTATTGTCAACAATATCTTTTATTTGTTAATATATTCAAAATATATTAATTTGATGATAAAAATGCTATACATATTTTTTATTTTTTTTTGCAATTGTAAATTGTTGTTTTGTACATATATATCATCACTACATTACATGATCAATCGAATGTCATAGAAAGATTCGCATTGTTATTTATCAAAACAAAAGACATTTGTTAATTACTGCACTGTATATAGTAGTAAGGTAGCAGTGAGCGTGCCTCAAGAACAACACTAGTACATGTAGCTAATGGATTTGTTCTTGAAATATGAAGGTATGAATCTTGCCTTATGTAAAGGGGAAGAATTGTACAACCCTGTTATCAAAGGGGGAAAATTTGTAAGATCCTGTTATTAATGTAGCATATTATTTTGTTAATTATTGTTGCATGCATAATATATTTTGTTCAATGAGCTACATATGTATGTATAGTTATGTTGTCGTTGATTATATTTATGCACAATTTTAAAATGTCCCTCTTGTCAAAACAGGGTAGAGTACCCTGCCCTGCTTCAAAACAAAACTAAATACATCTTTTATTATGCATATGTACATTTCATTTTTCATGTACTTCATTTTATCTTTCATGACTACCTTCATTAGCCCAGTCTGTGCAGATCAAACAGTAGGATGTTAAACCCCCATTTCATTTCATTTATATTTCATGACCACCTTCATTAGCCCAGTCGGTGCAGAATAGTAGGACGTTAAATCCCATTTCATATCATTTATATTTCATGAAGATTTTCCAGGGACTGTCAAAAATATCAGTATATTGCAATACAGTTCATTATAAATACATACATGTAGCGCAATACAAAATTTGGCATATCAGTATTTTCACTCTAATTTTGCTTTCTTTTTTTAACAGCCTGTCAGCTGAATTGTATCTAAATAGACATTTTCCATTTTATTTATGAATTTAAGCGGCTAAAAAGGACTTTTGTAAAATATTAAAGGATTTTTGACCTTTTATTTACTGTATTGAAATTTAATTTGATATTTTTACAAAAATAATCAAGCTATTTCTAATATTTATTTTTCAAAACTGAGAAATATATGCAAAATTGCTGGAACTGATGTCTAACCTCGTGGGTTTTCTCCAGGTCCTTGGGTTTCCTCCCAATGCTAAAGACCCCTATGTGCAAGCGAATCATTGAAATAAAATTAAACATATGTTAGTCCCAAAATGACCTAGTTTGTGTGGAGTAGACATTAAACCCCATTTCTCTCTCTCTCTCTCTCTCACTGGAACTGATGAGTGATTTAATTAAAATATAGTTTTTCACCTGAAAATAGGTATATTGCTAGATGATTAGAGATCACAATATACAACCATGTTCATCTTTTATTCAGCACAATCTGATTAAAGTACAGATCTATATTTTTTTTATTTTTTTTTATACTTTCAATGGCCTACACTACATGAAGATCTGACCAGTTGTAGTGGGAGGTTGCCTCAGGGGTCATACGAGTTGCTTTTGACTCTCAAATGAAACGATATACGATCTGTGTTCTAATCGGATTGCGTGTAGCATTGCATTAATTAAAATTAGATATTTGCATATAAAATGCTTAATTGTATTGTTAATTGATACCCACGCACAAATCAAAATGTTGTTTTGAATGCTTTTATAGTTTATTTTCAGTTTAAATTGTTAATTACTTAATGATTTGTTGAATCATGCTTACACATCGATTTGCAAATTATTCCATTAACAAGTTGTCACAGACTTGATAACCAGTAAATTAAAATGTCATTATATAATTATAGTTGTTTGTTTTGCTGTTTCTTGATAGTTCTGTCATTCTACAAAACAGGACCCTCATTTGATTTATATGCCCATTTCAATGATAAGACCGGGGGGGGGGGGGTCGGATGGCCGAATGGTTAGCACGTTGTATCATAAGGTCTGTCATTGAGTTAACTGGCGTTGTTTCAATTCCCCAGTTGTAGTGACAAGGAGTAGGGTCGCCTATCCAAACTCGTGGGTTTTCTCCGCGTCCTCCGGTTTCCTCCCATTGCTAAAGACCCCTACACGCAAGCGAATTATTGAAATGAAATACAGATATATTTTAGTCCAAAAGTGACATAGTTTGTGTCGAGTGGACCTTAAACCCCATATCTCTCCCTCAAATTGCAGGTCTTTGATTTTATATGATTATAAGACGTGGTTTGGGTTTTATGAAATTATCTGATTACCTGTATAAGATTTGTTAATGTTTACACTGGGAAGAACTGAAGACAGTTTCCCTTGATTAGTTTTTAGTGCCTTGTAAATGTTCCCCATAACCAACAAAATAAAAATGTGACCGCCAGTATGGACTCACCAGATCAATTGGCTGCTATGGGGATATGTTACATGTGTCTTGCCTGGCAATCTTTTTCCATCTGCCATTACATTGGAATAAACAGTTTGTCTGGGAGAAAATATCCATCTTTAACCTTATTCCAAAGTTAAGACCAAGCCTTTCCAAATCAGAACAATGTTTTCTGCGACAATGAAGAAGGCATACACCATGCAGTGTACTATGAGGGAAATTTTACACTGACAAAAGTTTTCCAGTTTTCTTCAAGGGTTCTTTTAGTGCAAGAGCCATGGTGGCTAAGTGATTAAGACACTGGCTCCCTAGTCTTGAAGTCGCGGGTCGGTGTTGGCCAAGAAAGTTCATCGGGATTTTCCGGGGTAGTTTTCCCTTGTCATTTCATTTCTTTGAAGTACAGGCCAATGTATACATGTGACCTTGGGTTTTTTTGGTATTCATCCAAGCAACAAGACACTGTATTTTGCCAGGCACAACATGCAATGAAGTATCAGTAATATATGTAAGGACTGTCAATGGGGAAAAGTGGCTATAAATAACATAAACAAAATTATAAAGTTTATACAGCAACTTTAATTAAATTTATAGATGGCAATGTTTGCAAACGATGAAAACCAGAGGCAAAAAATTTAATCATGGAATTAACACTCAAACTTTAAACACATACTCTTTTAGCTGCCTGTTAAATAAATAAAAAAAACAACAACAAGTAAAACTAGTCTATTCAAAGTCTTATTCCAGCAATCATTAACCACTACAACTCCGCTATCATTTAGTTGTGCTGTTTTAGGAGGAGTTTCTGTTTCAAACCATTGTTGGCAAATTGATAAAATTTGTTGAGAATCATCAAAAATTATTAGGTTCCTACTGTCTGCATAGTTTAAAATTGTCTGTCTAGATTAGGTAAGGAGTGTATGGGTTTACAACTGTTGACTTCCACTAGCGTAATGTGTTGTTGATTTATTAACAAACTAATTAATTACTCAACACACCCCAGAAAAGTAAACAGTTGGAAACCCAACACTAATCTAGACAGACAATTTTACACTTAAAGCCGTATTAGGTAAGATTAGATAAAGAGCTGACAGTTCTCGCTATAATAGTTTAAAAATAAATACTGAAAAGAGAATATTTTGAAAATTTCAGTCAAATTGCTTCACTCTAAGTCAAGTAATCCACAATAAAGAAAGACCTGCAATAGGTAGATTTAGCTCTTGCATACTGCATATTTAACATTAAATACAGAAACTCCTACTTAAACAGCAACAACCATATGATACTAGAGTTATAGTGATTTACATTACAATATTTACTTAATGCAGGCACTTTCAACACATGGGTGTCCTGTTTCCATTATCCCCCTTTCATTTCCTGAATTTTGTCTAAAAAAATGAGTCTCTATTTTTTTCATTCAAATACAGATTCTGATTTTAAAAGAATGTTGTCTTCATTGTACTTCGTCAATTTAATACTGCCTATAATTACAGCTATTTATTTAATCATAAATTTAATTTTAATTTTAATGGGGAACATGAACAATAGGATTTAAAACCTCCATGCTTTTCCTCTTCCAAATCTGCCCAGCAAGTCAACATCGATGTGAGCATGGAACAGGACAATAACCACTAAATATATACATAATATAGATCAGTAAATATTAATACAATAATCGGCAGAAAATAACCATATTTAAAATTGAAAAAAGATATAACATGGCAATGATAATGTTAGAGGAAGTCTTTCATCAAACTTTTGTAATAATAAAATATATATTTATGCACACATAAAACACACATTCACAGCACACATTTCCTTTTCTTTAATGTTATTTACAATTATATAGTATCAACACATCTCTTGGTACCAGTGATGGGATTTCAAAATTTTTCTTGTCGGACATTTTACCGAATATAAAGAGACATAACTCTTTTCGTTATTTAAGCAGAAGACTTCATGCCACAATTAAAAATCACATGTCGACAAAATATGCAAATCCCGTACATAATAAAAATAGGTGAACCATTCAATCGTAACACTATAATTAAACATATCTCTGGTACCATCCAAACAAAGATGACCATATTATAAACATCCATTTGTAAATTAAAGATACATTATGGGAGATTAGATAACGAGTTGGCAGTTCTCATTATAATAGTTAAAAACTACATAATGTAAAGGCAACTTGCTGAAAATTTCAGTCAAATTGATCCACTATGAACCGAGAACCAAGCTGATGAAAGTTCCGCTTAGCCTCGATCATCATTACTGAAGTCGATAAGACAAAACTAATAGTCTTGATTATCCATTTAATCGTTAATCACGATGGAAAATTTTGCAGCAAATCGGACTGCAATCGAACAAATATCGCAGGGAAGCCTTGACATCGAGAGCTGATTATGGTCTGGATAAGTTAATTAATGTCTAATTAATGGTTTTTATAACATTTCAGGCCTAAAGAAAGACCTGCAATAGGCCGATTTTGCTCTTGCATAATGTATGTTTAAAATTAATTCTTTAGAGACATTTAATAACTGGATAGAGCAATAAACTAGAACACATACTTATGGAAAAACAATTACTGATTTAGAGTATTCTCTAAAGTTTTCAAGCATGTACAGTAACAAATGTGTAGGGCAATTATATATAGAGAAGCAAAAACAAAAATCAGAAACTACGCACGACAACAACAAGATCAAAGGCAGTGATTGTTCTTCTATACAATAAGTATGAGTTATAGTTTATATTAAAATTGATCATTATTAAATCAGTTGGTTTGTATAATCAATTCATTTCTAAAATACATCTTTGGTACCACACTAATAAATATGACCATACAATAAACATACATTTCTAAATTAAAATTGATCATTTTTAATTTTGATCAAGATGTTACTAACGTCATTTGAGAGATTTTGAACCCATTGTAAACTACAATATTGTGTAAGTTGGAAAATATATATTGGTCCTAAAATGGTTCAATTCCATTCAGTATTTACAAAGATACGATAAATTGAAAATTTCACAACATTCTACAGATTATATAAACAGGATACACCCAAAATTTACTTTGGTTAAAACAGTCTAGAATCGCATTAAACTTTTACATATAGGTGTTTAATCCTCTAATCTCCTAGATTTGATTTGGGATAATGATTTCATAATCAAACTAATTTATACCGATATTATTTTAAATTAAAAACTGTTTCTAAATAGATATTTATTATAATTACAATTAAATACAATTTAATTTAATAAATTCTGTCACAATATATCTTAATATAAATGGTTTTTAATTACAATTTAAATTCAAAATTTTTTGAGTATATACCTGAATTACATGAAATCTAGACACAGGTAAGAATGGTCACGATCGTCAACAACAATATGAGCAACAATTTAAATATAAATATAGGTATAATTGTTCTAAGGGAAACATGCAGAAAGCTATATTTCTTCCGAATTTCAAAAATCTACAGGAAGGCTAAGTATTAATATGATCGATTTTAATATTATTGGTTATAAAAACTAACAAACTAAATCACTACCAACTAATATGACATTTTTAATTAACCTTACTGTGAAATTAGACGGAAACTCAATTATTTATATATCTTACTGCCAACAGCTGAACCATCTTTTGCTATAATATATACCCCCCCCCCCCATCAAATAAACATGAACATTTTAATTCTCTAACACTTTCGATACATGGTGCCGGGTCAGCTGGTCATCTCAGACTACACACGCATATTCCAGGTGACAAGGGACCAAGATTAGTCTAGAATATTAACGTAAACAGTTAACAGAAGACCTAAATGATAAAAAACAATTGTCATCAAGTGGGACCCAGTCATCACACACTCCTTGAATTATCTGTAGGACCCTGGTTACCAGATCCAATTTTATTATTAGAACAGATATAGTAGAAATAGGGTTATACACTAAAAAAAAATATTCTTTGTCAATACCAAAAATAATTTCTCAGTAAGAAATAACATATTACAGGATGATAAGGCATTTAAACAATAAATGTCATCGTACATACTGTTATACATAATAAATAATATATCAACTTTTAATGTCATGATGTTTACAACAATTATTAATGTAAATATGTTTGTAACAGTGATATATTACAAGATAAGAACAAATACAATCAATTCTATTTCTGTCAATGCTAGTATATATACTAAAAAAAAAAAAATTCTTTAAAGGGACAGCCATGGTTTAAATATGTAATTAAATCAAGTTTTAAGTGTTTAAAAGTTTTGACAAGATATAGCGGATTGTCAAGTACCATTGCCATGATAATAAACAAAGTTTCGATTGTGAGTCCTTTATATTAAATGTTAATTGATTATATGGTGCGGATTGTCTAATTCATTTAATATCTCAGCCATCTGATGATCTAGAGAGCTGATTATGGGCTTTTTGACATGTAAATAAATGTCTAAATCATTAATTTATATAACATTTCGAGGCCGGAAAAAAAGGCCTGCAAAAAGGCAGATGTAGCTCTTACATAATGCATCCTTAACTGATATATAATATAATAATGCATCTTTAACGGATATATAATAAAGGCAATTATTACATAATGCATCTTTAAATAATTTTATATACTAAAACATATGATACCAATCCTTTAACCATGTTTAAACCACTTGTATGTTTTATTGAGCAGTGTGGCCACATTTTCTCTTAGAACAGATTAATAACATAATTTAGGGATGCTTGATTCGTCAGTCCGGAGCACTCGAATTAAATGAATTGCAATTGAGTGAAGTGGATTTCAGTCTTGTCACAGTTCTGTCAGTCCTGACAGTGGAGGTGGTGTGAGTACAAAATTGTGACTGGACACAACTAATATATGTCATCTGTCATGGTTGGTTGGGATATTTTCTTATGCAGTCAGGTTGTAACCCGAAAGTCCCCTTTTCACTCGATACTATTTTGGGGATTTGAAGAATTCAATTCCAGACTGTTTAATCGAGTATCCACGCAGTTAATGTAACGGGAGAATAATATACAACAAAACTTATAAATAGCTAACATTAAGTCAGGGTCAAGCTGGTTAACATAACTAAAACTAAGTCAGGTACAAGCTGGTTAACATAACTAAAAATAAGTCAGGGACAAGCTGGTTAACATAACTAAAACTAAGTCAGGTAAAAGCTGGTTAACATAACTAAAAATAAGTCAGGGACAAGCTGGTTAACATAACTAAAACTAAGTCAGGTAAAAGCTGGTTAACATAACTAAAAATAAGTCAGGGACAAGCTGGTTAACATAACTAAAACTAAGTCATGTACAAGCTAATTAACATTACTAAAACTAAGTTAGGGACGAGCTGGTTAACATAACTAAAGCTAAGTCAGGGACAAGCTAATTAACATAACACATAATATAAAATAAAATAGGAATATCAAAGACAGTAATATATTATAATTAATTCTACATATTGCATGTAAAGTACCTTTAAAACTTATAACTTGCTTGACTAGCCAAATAGGAGATATATACCAGAGCTTCTACTGTTTAATACTAATAAAAAAACAATAAAAATACTAAAGGTAAAATGCATATAATTTGGCTTTTTCTTGTCAACTGAGTCAGATTTTCAATGCCCGGATAATTTGTAAAGAACACTAAAACATGCTAATAATTATCCATGTATTATCCATGTACAATAATTATCTATGTACAATTTTAACAGTTATAAAGTATAAATGAATATTTGGTATTTTTCTCACTTGTGGCCAAATACTTTATAATAATACTAACAATAACTTGAATAAAAACACATTAAAACATATTCTCATCTCTATAATTAATACAACCTTATCATTCATTTCTAATAACTTTTATTACAGTCTATTGTTTCTGTTAACTTTATTACAGTAAATTGTTTTTAATGACTTTATTACAGTAAATTGTTTTTAATAACTTTATAACAGTAAATTGTTTTTAATAACTTTATTACAGTAAATTGTTTCCAATAACTTTATTACAACAAATTGTTTCTAATAACTTTATTACAATAAATTGTTTCTAATAACTTTATTACAAGTTGTTTCTAATAACTTTATTACAAGAAATTGTACTTGTTTCAATGGCATTTAATAATTCAACTGGATAAAAACAGGTCACAACTGTATGGAATACAATTACTCTGTATTACTGAGAGATGTTTGACTTGGCTTCTCTAGTTTTTATTAAATACCACTGTTTACTATTATTATTATTATAGTGCACCCTTTCATATAACATGTTCAGGGGCACTTCAATAATTCTCTTGCGCATAGGAGTCTTTAGCAGTGGGAGGAAACTGGAGGACCCAGAGAAAACCCACGAGGTTGGACAGGAGACCCTACTCCTTGTCACGTACAACCGGGGATTCGAAACCACGTTAGTTGACTCAATGACAGGCCTATACAGCGCGCATGTGCCAAACATGCAGCCCCCCTTGATTACCGTAAAACAAGAAATATTGACGCACTAAAACGCAGAATGAAATTAATGCATCTCTTCACTGAAAGAGAGATCAACGTTTTAAACAAAACCAAAAAGTGCCACGAAATTACTGCATTAGCACAATTTGCAATCATGGAAATGCCTAAATAAAATTTCATGGTTTATAGAAACGATTAAAGGCCTACATATACTTTCACTTGTAATCTTTTAGAGGTATTTAGGAATTAGATAAAGCAATGAACTATTATATAACACATACTTCTGGAAAAATAGCTACTAATATATATCTGCTCGAGGTAATACTCTTCAAAACTTCACCAAAATAAATTAGTATCTGTTTTCTTTAAGTATGTGGAATAGTTTATTACTTCAACTTGGCCCATGAAAATCACCCAATTCTCTTATAATCCGCAATAAATGTATAATGTGAATAATCTACTTCATCAAATACACAAACACAGAGAATTGTTTTAATGGAATTAAGTAGGTAAATTGGAAATACACAGAATACAATTCTATGGAAAATAATTACTGATTATCAATGAGCGATGTTATGATTCAGATTTTCCAGTCTTTCAATGGAATTAACAAGCCAACAATGAGGCTGATGTTCTCCACCACAACCCGAAAATAAATAGATGACGCATACTAATTATTTGCACATTTATCATTTTTCAAAAGTATCGAGCAATTAAACTGATTATCCAATCTTAGTCTGGGCAGAAAATGTTCTCGGTCAAACTCAGTCAAGATTTTGAAGTACCTTGTAGTGAAACTTTATACCAAGTTTCATCCCTCTCCATCAATTAGAATCAAAGTTATCTTGCCCTAAAGCATCAACCAATCAAATTCCTTATTTATGCACAGGCATTCACCTAATAAACACCCATACCAAGTTTGGACATTCTAGCTCAATTAGGAGAGTTGTTATTGTGTTCCAAAAAGTCTGATGGACGGACGGACAGACAGAATCCTAAAAAAACGTCGCTCGGTAATAAATCGTAATTGTATTCCACAGAATTATTTCTTATGTATAACAAACAGAATGATTTGGAAATCTGCTGGAATCTATTTAAACAAATATCACTGTTTTTACCTTAGCTATACTATATCTACCATATTGTTTAATACTCTAATACATCTTCTCAATGACCTAGTCTATAACAGACTAGACACAAATTACCAGTCCCTCACAGTAGATATTGTCCAGTATTGATTCGATCAAAGGCAGGATAAACATATGACATTAAACATATAATCTTTGGACTCCTTCCATCACACAATGAATTATTAGATGTAACAATAATTACTTCAAGTCACTCCCATTCTAACTCATCTGGATTATCTTGAGGCAACACTAACAATAGCTTCTGGAAAAACTGATTCACAAAATCTGAAAAATAGAGGAAATAAATCTCATAATTAATGTTTAGCTGATGGTGCTGTTTTTAATCTTATTTAATCCAAAGATTATCTAGTGATGATAATATTTTGATTTTGTTTTTTTAATTAAATGTTAAATAATCAATCTGAATACATATAAGCATGTCGTGAGAAATTTGATATTTTCTGAAAAGTGCAAATTACACAGGAGTCAGGTGTTAAAGTATTTATTCACTCTGTTTCATAACAAAACGATAGCTTGACCACAATAAATAAGTTAATGCTTTCTGATAACTACATTCTTTTGCACAAATAAAAACACACAAGAAAATGAAAGACTGAACCAAATATCAAAATTTGTTCAGTTTCTTTATTATCTTTTTTTAACACCAAATATAATTCTACTTGGGATGAACAATTAAAAGATGTGTATTATAGTTTAAAGAAAGCCTTTAACTTTAATTCTTTTCTACTTTTGAAACCTATTTGTGATATCAGATTTTATTCTAAGCTACCTGTTATATTTTACTTTTATTATAGTTTTATTTAGTTTTCCTATATTTATATTTCATTTTATTGCATGTTTTATTGACGTGTATTGTACAGCCCATCTGAACATGTTTTGTAAAAGATAAAACTCTATAAATAATAATAATAACTAGAACTGTGAGGCAGTAATGATGGGTTTCACCGGTGCCATGTTACTCTTGAACTGACATCACTACCCAAAACAATGAAAACGTTAAACACTTTTTGCGTGCGAGGGGCGGCCATTTTGTCAGGCAGTTTTGGTCTGATTTTCACAAAATGCTAATTCAGCCGTCATTATGGTGTAACGGTAAAATATTCAAACGTTTTTTTCAGTCGGATAAAAATTATGACCTCTATAGGGTCCACAAGCTAAAAACATGATTTTTCGTACAATCAGGGTCCATAATCCATGAAGTTACAGTCTGATACATGCCAATATCGAAAGGAACCAAGATCTTAGGGAGATAAACCAAAATTTCAAGTTTCGTTGAAATCAGATAAAAACTGTGACCTGTAGAGTGTCCACAAACAATTGTGGACGGACAGGGGCAACGACAATATACGTCCACATGAAAATGTGGGCGTATAAAAATGAATTAAGCATAGAATCATCTAATATATCGAGCGTTTACGTGTAGGATGACAGATGGCCGTATTTCTGACTTATCTTGACGGTGGAATGGATTCACAGACACACACATATATATCATGAATACATATGATTAAAATACATGAGTTTATCAGTAGAGATCTAGGAGTGCAGTTCGGTATTCAGGTAATCATTCACACGTCACTGACATTCTAACTCTTTGATTATTGAATCAGTCAAGAACTATTTATTTTGAAACCTTAAGGTGTCCAATTAGAAAAGAATTAGTAGACACAAAATTATTAAATAACTGGGAAAAACAATTTAGAGTAATGGGGTGTAAGCAGATGGGCCGTTTTGTCCCATATTAACTTTACCATGTCTTATAGCCACTGTTCTATAGCAATACATATTGTGGAATTTTTAATGTCTATTTGTTCTCTGCTGACCCTGTCACATACCAAACTAAGGTTGCCTGTCTACAGTTAGCTCCGCTTGAGAACAGACACTAAGCTAGTTGACCGACATTTAAAGTCCTAAATCGACCATTTTAGTTGAAAACAATAAGTAAACTTCGAGAATTTTTAGAAGTATTTATTCTGCTTCCATTCAATGGAATTCAATAGGTCTATTTAGTCTTTGTGTGTGTGTCAGGTGTGACACAGAGTAGAAGCGCAGTAGAAAACAATATACCGGTACTAGTTTTTGGATATGGCGGCCATTCAGGACAGAGATTTATTCTCGAAGTATGAAGTAGATGGATCTTTGTGTGTCATTGATATTTCCACGATTACAAAAATTCATACTTTTTGGGTAATTTCCATTATCAATTTACTTGTTATCAGTAGGAATTGTTGAAACATGTGGAAACTTTGTGTTTTACTGTTGGTGGGAGTATATCAAATTAACTCTCTAAAAATAGCTGCTTTCAACATCAGACGTCTTGGTGCACATGCTGTCAGTAATCATGATGCCTTACAGAGAATGATTCAGGTATAATACTCTTTTACAATCATTTTATTTTCCCAATTAAAACAGAATATTTAAAGGCACCTTGAGTCAGATTGCTCAAGAATCCAAATTAAAAGAATGCATGCTATAAAAGTGTGTTGTTTGTTAAAACCAAAAAATGGCTTGACAAAGAGTGGGCTGGCTTGTACGAACCAGCGGCTGCCAGGCAGGATACGCCCACATTTTGCAAGAGATGGATAGAGAACAAGCTAAACAAAAAGCGATTTTTCGTACAATCAGGGGCCATAATTCAGGAAGTTACGATCCGATATGCGCAAATATCGATGGGAACCGAGATCTTTGGGTTATAAATTAATATTTCAAGTTTCATCAAAATCAGAAGAAAATTGTCACCTCTAGAGGGTCCACAACCTTGATATACCATATTTTTATGCTATTTGATTACAGGGGGCGGCCATTTTGTCTGTCAGTTTTTGTACAATTTTCACGAAATTCGAAATCATCCTTAGGGTGTAAAGGTGATATATTCAAACGTTTTTTTAAATCGGATAATAATTGTGACCTCTAGAGGGACCTCAAGCTAAAACACGATTTTTCTTACAATCAGGGGCCATAATTCAGTAAGTTACAATCCGATATGCGCAAATATCGAAAGGATCCAAGATCTTTGGGTTATAAACTTATATTTTAAGTTTCATCAAAATAGGATTATAGGGTCCACAAGCTAAAAACGTGATTTTTCGTACAATTAGGGGCCATAATCCATGAAGTTTCGATCCAATACATGCCAATATCGAAAGCAACCGAGATCTTTTGGAGATAAACCTATATTTCAAGTTTCGTCAAAATCAGATAAGAATTGTGACATGCAGAGTGACCACATACAAATTGTGGACGGACAGAAAATGTGGGCATATAAAAAGGTAGCAGGATTATTATTATCTGTGCGACTCCTGGCAGGTTGGTATTTAATGATCAATTACCGCTGACTACCACTGACTACCAAGAGTGTTTATCCAGTTTTGGATAAATGTAGTAATATCTGAATTACAGATTGTTGGAAGGTATGATATTGCTGTTATTGAAGAAGTTATGGATTTAACTGGTATTGGTCAAATAGTCAGTGGATTAAACAGGTAAACTTAATATACCTTTATTATTACATTAATTACAAACTAAAGGTAATAAAGCATCCCAATGGACAATTTATCATAATATGCATTTGTTAGGTGGTCAGGTAAAACGAAGAACTTTGTTTTTAATGATATATGTTTTAGTTTTTATGTGGAGATACACTTGGTTAGAGAGAGAGAGAAAGAGACAGACAGACAGAGAGAGAGTGAATGGGTTTAACGTCCACTCCACACAAACTAGGTCATTTTGGGACTAACATATGGTTCAGGAGTCTTTAGCAGTGGGAGGAAACCGGAGGACCTGGAGAAAACCCACGAGGTTGGACAGGCAACCATACTCCTTGTCACGTACAACCATGGAATCGAAACCACGCCAGTTGACTCAATAACAGTCCTTATGATACAGCGCACTCGCGCTAACCATTCGGCCATACAACCACCCTGCACTTGGTTAGGTGTTTTGATTTTGTCTTTAAACTTTTCATATTGCAGTCAACATGGAACAACACATTATCGCTATATCCACAGTGATAAGATCGGAAGAACATCTTATAAAGAATATTATGGCTTTATATACAGGTAACTAGCTCATATCTCGACTAACGATATTATTTACAGGTAACTAGCTCATATCTCGACTAACGATATTATATACAGGTAACTAGCTCATATCTCGACTAACGATATTATATATGTGTTAGTTTAGTAATTCAGGTGTGTGGACAGATCTTTAGAGAAGTGGGCGAAACTGAAGAACAAAAAGAAAAATCAGTTTAAGGCGTACCGTGCCCACGAGTCGCATGGATAATAGATATTATGATCTACAGCACGTAATAGACAACTGGTCCCCACCTCACCCTTTGTAGGTAAAAGACAAAAGGTGGTGCTATAGGGTTATATTCATTTTCATCCGACCGTATTCAACAATATTTTTTCTTAATAGGCCATTTTGTACAAAAGTACAAAGCAAGTGTGTCAGCTACGTGAACTCACCAACAGGGCCCTCACAAGCCTATGTAGCGCCCCCACCCCCCTTGCATACTGCAACTGAATTGTCCATTACCTGCGCTCAGTTGACTTGAGTGGCACCCCCCCCCCCCTTGCATACTGCAACTGAATTGTCCATTACCTGCACTCAGTTGCTCTTTTATGATTAGAGAAATTTTTATACTTTTGACACTTTATCGAAATAACTATTTATTAAATTAACTTATATGTAGAGGTTTTAGGTTTATTTCCCCTTCAATTCTCCATTTGATCGAAAAACCTGTAATATATCTTGGAAAATCAGAATTCTACCCTCTCTATTAGCTGGATTATGAACTGGTTTACACCGGTTTAGGGGAAGCAAAGGCCGATGATTTGCTATCTCAGCCTCCAAGGGGGTTAGGCAACACTTTGAATATTTCTCGTATGCACTAAGATAATTTACCGTCTCCCAAGAAGTGTAGCCCCCGGGCATATGAACCCCCCCCCCCCTAATGTGAGGGCCCTACTCATCAAATGAAAAGTAATGCTATGTATTCTCAGAGAGTACAGAACAATTGTTGGATATGAGAGACAAGACTGATTTTCAATTGTAGATCTGACCTGGTGAGTGTAAAGAAAACCTATCAATATAATGATGTAAATGATTGGTTCGAGAGAGAACCATTTTCTGTACTCTTCCATGTGCCAACAGCTTGTAAGTAAAACATATAGTAAAATTACTTGCCAGTTCAAGGTGATTTTCAAGATAAATCTGTTCTTTGATTGGCATTTAGTAATTGAACATATTAACACAAGGTACAATTTTATGGATACACAATTACTGAGTTTAATACTAGGCGACCTTTCAACAAGGATACTCTTGTCTTTATCAAGCCAATGATACAGGTATGTGAATAGTAGGCAAATATATACAGAATATGCCACAAAGATATATTTGCCTACTATTCACATACCTGTGTTTATTATATATAAAAATGAAGATTTACATTCCTATATTATCCTATATTCGGTGATTATTCAATATTATTTCCAGCTCTAACAGACTTTGTGATAACTGGCATACATATCAAACCCTCTGATGCTCCAAATGAGATAAGTCATTTACCAACAGTTTATAAGGCTGTATCTTCAGCTTTATCCAATAAGGTAATGTTCAGCGTAATTACACTGATAACTTTTAGTTATTGAGCATGTATGCAGGTATTTTGTTCCGTTTATTTTTCAGTTGTTTATTCAATTTGATCTTGGTCTACAGATATTGCCTGGTTGTACAGTTGACAAGGCGTAGTGACAAGGCGTAGGGTCGCTTGTACAACCTCGTGGGTTTTCTTCGGGTCCTCCGGTTTCCTTCCACTGCTAAAGACCCCTAAGCGCAAGCGAAAAATCAAACTATACATTGTTTGTGTGGAGTGGAGTTCCCTCCCTCCCTCTCCCTCTCTGATATTGCTTAAAACAAGAACTTGTGATTGGGAGAATATTGTCTCATGTTGACACTATGTTTATCACTGTTGTAGACCTGGTGGTGGTGGTGGTGGTGGTGGTTTTATTCAGAATGTAATCAGTGATTAGAAAACTGATTGTAGTTACCTGTTCTTTAAGAATGTGATGATTGTGGTTATATATTTTTTCAGAATGTAATGATCGCTGGTGATTATAATGTGGTTATATATTTTTTCAGAATGTAATGATCGCTGGTGATTACAATGCTGATTGTAGTTATTTGAGTGCGAAAAAATTATCCTCTAATCCTCTATACACAGACCAAAGTTTTACCTGGTTAATATCCAGTACTGTAGATTCTACTGCTAGTCATCACACAAACTGTGCTTATGATAGGTAACTAGTAAAACCATACTTGACCATACAAACTGTGCTTATGATAGGTAACATACTATAGTAAAATCATACAAACTGTGCTTATGATAGCTAACATGTAAAACCATACAAACTGTGCTTATGAGGAAACATACTATAGTAAATGAAATGAAATGGGGTTTAACCCATTACTGTTCTGCTCCGAACTGGGCTAATGAAGATGGGCATACGCCATACAGTGTGCTATGAGGGAAATTTTGCCCGCACAGCGGCACTACGGCCTACTCTTATATCGAATTCCAACTGTCAAGGGATCTTTTACGTGCACGCCAAAGTGTACACAGGACCTCGGTTTTTCGTCCCATCTGAACGACTAGACAGTTATCCTTGTCAGGCCCTCCATCCTATATCACTGACAAGGGGGAACCACGCCGGAAAATCTGGATGAACTGTGGTATGAAGTGGGGTCTGAGAGCTTGATCGATGAAGAACACTGCTGTCGATGCCGCCTCCTCTCCCTGGACCAAGATTTTGGTACTCCATAGGACCCACTCTCTGGTTCAGGCCGATTCCACCCCAAACCATTATGCTTGGACCTCCCCACGAGTCTCGTTCCTTGACACATTGGTCAGAATAACGCTGGCCACATCAACGCCATATTCTGGTCCTGCCATCTGCAGTTGATACGCAATACTGACTCTCATCTGCGAACAGAACAGTTCTCCATTGCCTGTGACGCTGTGACGTTATTGGGCAAACTGTAGACGTTCAAGTCGATGGTGAGTGGTGAGGATCGGTCCACGGTAAGGTCTACGGCAATAGATGTTCTCCATGGTGAGACGTCGGTGCACTGTATCGGTACTGATCGGTCTTCCGTGATTTTCCACTGTCTGAGGTACTGTCTCAGATGCCTGTGTGAACGGATTCTGCACGTTCTGTCGCACAACATGGCAGTCTTGTCGCCTTGTGGTAACCCTTGGTCTACCAGTTAGGGGGCAATCATCCGTGCCCGTGGTGTTGGTGGCCTGAAGGAATTGCTGAATCCTGTAGAAGGTCCGAACATTGACCGAGAAGTGATTGGCAACGACGTGGGCAGTGTGGCCAGTGTCGGGTCTTCCAAACGCCTGGTTCCTCTGAGCTGTCGTGAGTCATGGCATGCTGACGTTGTAGTGTTAATGATTCAACCAGGTATGGGGGTGCATTTTATAGGACTGTTCCCGGTGAACAGCACGTGAAAATTGCTTGCTATTTCTTCAATTTCTAATTAAAATGGTTAAAATACAACAGCCTGGAACAGGCAGTAACATATTGAATATTATATTCCAGATTTGTAGTAGCTGGTGATCAATTCAAGGAAGCTATTGTTCCACACAGTGCTAAAGCCTATAATTATGAAACAGGATTACATCTAACATTTGATGAGGTACCTTCAAATTTTACAATATAGCAATCGTAATACTTTGATATAGGTGTTTATTAAGTTCACAATTAATATTGTCAGTCTCACCATAGTGGCAATAAATTCATCATTTTAAAATGAATAAAGAATACTAGTAATGCTGAAATGAAATGGGGTTTAACGTCCTACTGTTTTGCTCCGAACTGGGCTAATGAAGACGGGCATACGCCATACAGTGTGCTATGAGGGAAATTTTGCCCGGACAGCGGCACTACGGCCTACTCTTATATCGAATTCCAACTGTCAAGGGATCTTTTACGTGCACACCAATGTGTACACGGGACCTCGTTTTTTTGTCTCATCCGAATGATTAGACAGCTGTCTTTGTCAGGCCCTCTGTCCTGCATCACTGACAAGGGGGAACCACGCCGGAAAATCTGGATGAACTTTCTCGGCCAATGCAGGGATCGAACACCCAACCTCCAGGCTAGCGAGCCAGCATCTTACCCACTTAGCCACCGTGAATAAAGAATACTAGTAATGATACAAATTCAAATTTTATCTATTTCAGGCATGGGCAGTAAGTGATCACTATCCAATTGAACTAGAAATGAAAGATTCAGTAGATATTGTTGGCTAAATAAAAAAGATATAACAAGGGGCGTGTTCTAGAATTTGATGGTCCGAGCTGGCGACAATGTCAAGTTTGGTGTGTGGTCTTGGGGATTACCTTGATCATTTATGTGCATATACATTAGAGTGGAGTACAGCCAAAACGACAGCAATATCTCGCACGTTTGTTTATTTTGACACGCCGCCCCAGGAATCATGAATGATCGCTGCCAAACAGTTTCTGTGGTGGGGTAGGTACCCTTGACAGACCTCTCTAGAATGGCACATGTAATCCCACATATTTTCTACAGGGTGACCCAAAAATAAGTTCCATTTCAGCATTTAAATTTTAATTGTTCTACATTAGGAGGGAATCCTTCTGGGCCAACTCGTAGAAAACCAGGAAAATTCTTGATATACTAATACATGTATTTCGTATAAGGCAAAAAACTAACAGTTGGTAACTTCACACAAGAATTGTGGCCTGTAGACAACACACAGACACACAAAAAGAAAATGGGCGTGGCTCTGCCACTAGGGGTTGGGCATGCCCCCCAAACCATACGGATGTTCCTTAGGGTACAAAGAATAAGTATGCAAAGTTTCAAGATGATACGTTAAGAAATGCAGCCTGTAGACTACAAACAAACAAATACAAGAAAAGGGCTAGGCTCTGCCCCTGGGAATCGGGCATGTACCAAAAAAATATAGGGATCATACATAGGGCATAAGGCATAAGTATGTAAAGTTTCAGGATGATCACTTAAGAATTGTGGCCTGTAGGTGACACACAGACACACAAAAAGAAAATGGGCGTGACTCTGCCCCTGGGGGTTGGGCATGCACCCCGAACGATAGAGATGTTCCTTATGGTACAAAGAATAAGTATGCAAAGTTTCAAGATGTTACGCTAAGAAATGCAGTCTGTAGACGACAAACAAACAAATACAAAAAATCGTTGTGGCTCTGTCCCTGGGGGTCGGGCATAAGTATAAGTATGTAAAGTTTCAAGATAATCACTTAAGAATTGTGGCCTGACGCACACAGACACACACACATACAGGGGCGACGGCAATAAAAAACCTAGCCCGAGATTTTTTTTGCCTTTTGTAGGGCCATTTATCTTGATCTATCAGATTTGCAAAAATTAACATTTGCTACCGAAAAGATGTTCTGACTCGTCAAAATCAGAGTTTTTCAGCAAAATTGCAAAAAGCTAAGCAGTGAGAAACCCTAATAAGAATAATTTTAACAAAAACAATAATGTTTCACACAAGCTATGCAGTGTGAAAGCCTAATAATAAACTACTTACTAATCTTAGATTGAATAACTTTAGGTTTCTTTTGCCACCTGTTGCCAAATATATATAATACTGCTCCAACTCCTACAATACACAGAGCCATAAAACTCTCGGTTGGTTTCTGATAGAATGTTAATATAACTATAGCAAAACTGATCAAACACAGCATCAGTGGCAGTACTATAGGTACCTGAAAATATAGAAAACTTTATGAGATCTAATTTACAAAGGGAGTTGGGTGGTTCAGTGGTTTGTAGAGGACAAGGAGTAGGATCACCTGCAGGCTTTCTCCATGTCCTCCAACTGCTTGAGATCCATTGCCTCAGAAAATTATTGAAATATTGAACCATATGTTACTCTGAAAATGAGAGAGAGAGAGAGAAATGGGGTTTAACATCCACTCGAAACAAATTAGGTCATTTCGGGAGTAACATATGGTTTAATTTTATTTCAATAATGTGCTTGTGCGTAGGGGTCTTTAGCAGTGGGAGGTTGGACAGGCGACCTTACTCCTTGTCAGGCCCCAGATACAATGCGCACACGCTAACCATTCGGCCATCCGCCCCTCCAGTAGTTGTTTCTAGAAGAAGTTAAATACTATTTATATGTCTTGTCTGTTGTTTATTCATAGGTATATGCAATTTCTTTTCTTGCTACATTGAATCTACCTTTCACTATTCCCATGTCGAATGTCACATATAAGAGATATTTAAAAATACAAAAATCAGCATTTTTTCCATAATCAAGGTTGCCTGTCCAACCTTGTGGGTTTTCTCCGGGTCCTCCGGTTACCTCCCAGTGCTAAAGACCCCTACGCGCAAGCGAATTATTGAAATAAAATTAAAAACCATATGTTAGTCCCGAAATGACCTAGTTTGTGTCGAGTGAACGTTAAACCCCATTTCTCTCTCTCTCCCATAATCAAGGTCTGTGGTCTAAGGGGAGACAACTGGTGCAAGTTATCTCCCTTTATTCTACACACAAAGTTGAATTATATCATTAATTATAAAGTTAATTCTATAATGCACTTAAGAAATATTTAAAAAAAACCAAACAATTCTGCAACCCAACAATTGATAAGATCAAGCTGAAATTATGTAATATAATTTAAAATACTAGTCAATTTCCTGCAGCAGTTGATACATTTTTCCTTTTGTTCTCCTCAAGTTTCAATATGGCACAGGAAAATGACAGCTTGTCAGATATAGATTCGCTCTGAAAGTTCTTCCAATATAGAATATAGATTTATTAAACTATTTCAGTAATCTTAGGCCTTCTTTCCTGTAGGGCAGATTGCACATTTTTGCTTTCCAGGTAATGTAGGACTTTTTGTAAGAAGTTTGAATTATATTTGGTTCACTCAGAAAAACACATCGACATAAGCGTTGTCATGAATAGCCTAAAGCAAAACAGGTGTGACAACTGCTTATGAAGGCCATAGCTGTACATTCTAGAAAAAGGCCAGTGTGTTTGAATTTGTAGCCGCCTGGATTGTAGTTTAATTAGGAAATAAACTAAAATGAAATAGGGTTAAACACTGTTCTGCTCTGACTGGGCTAACGAAGACAGGCATACGCCATACAGTGTACTATGAGGGAAATTTTGCCCAGGCAGTGGCACTATGGCCTACTCTTATATCGAATTCCAACTGCCAAGGGAACTTTTACGTGCATGTCAATGTATACATAGGACCTCAGTTTTTCGTACAATCCAAACGACCAGACAGCTATCCTTGTCAGGCCATCCGTCTTTTTAGAAACCAACATGCCCTTACTAATGTACTTCTGAACAAGGGAGTGAAGACCTTCATTGGTATTTTTGGTTGATATACCCTGACACCTTTTCAATAAAGCTTTGGGCAATATCTATTAACAGAGTTGTTCAGAGAGAGAGAGAGAGAGAGAGAAATGGGGTTTAATGCCCACTCGACACAACTAGGTCATTTCGGGACTAACATATGGTTTAATTTTATTTCAATAATTCGCTTGCGCATAGGGGTCTTTAGCAGTGGGAGGAAACCGGAGGACCCAGAGAAAACCCACTAGGTTGGACAGGCGACCCTACTCCTTGTCACATACAAACAGGGATTCGAAACCACGCCAGTCGACTGAATGACAGACTTTATGATACAACGCGCACGATAACCATTCAGCCATCCAACCCCCCAGAGGTGTTCAGAGTTCAGTGTTAAACACTCAATGATGATAATAAAATATGCAAATTAATTCTACAAGACTTACTTTAATTGGTCTGACAAGATCGGGTTCCTTGAATCGTAAATAAACTTGACCAGCAAACACCATGGTCAAAACAGACGCAAAACCAAACCCTTCCATTTCAATTAGAAACCAGATATCATTAGATGTTTGGAAACAAATCGTGAGACCAAGCTGAAAGATAAAAACAGATCAATAGACCAAGCTGAAAGAATAGTTAACATGATTGAATAATCGATTCGAAAGGTTAAAGTTTTCAACTGTTAAATTTCTTTAAAGGTTAAAGTTCAAATGTTATTTTTCTTTACAGGTGAAATTCAACTGTTAATTTCCTACATGTGAAAGTTCAACTGTTAAATTTTCTAAGTAATACAATATTATAAATCACAAATAATTAATTTGTTTCAACTCATCCTAATTTCTGTTCTTTGCATATATTAAATAAAGGCTAAGTAGCAACAAGTATATACTGCTAATCACTATCAATGCCATTTGAGAAACACTCTTCTCAAACACAAGCATGTTAAATCAATTCAACCCATATTAAACTATTTATTTTATAAAACCAAAACCACATCTTATGATCAAATAACAGCAAAGACCTGCAATTTGAGAGAGAGAGAGAGACAGACAGACAGACAGATGGGGTTTAACATCCACTCGGCACAAACTAAATCATTTCATGACTAACATATGGTTCTATTTCATTTCAATAATTCGCTTGCGTGTAGGGGTCTTTAGCAGTGGGAGGAATCTAGAGGATAACCCAAGAGGTTAGACAGGCAGGCGACCCTAAATCTTCTCACATACAAAGGGGGAATCGAAACCACGCCAACTGTCTCAATGACAGATCTTATGATGCAACGCACACACGCTAACCATTCGGCCATCTACATGTAACCCCCCACCTGCAATCTGAAGTGCAGCAGAAACAATGGATTTGTTAGTATTTATTGCCCTTCTGGTTTGCATTCTGCCATTAATATATTGTTTGAGTACTTACAATAACAAGTAATGAAGACATTGGTGTTAGATATTTATACTGTATCATTGACATAAACTGAGGCATGTGATTATTCTTAGCACCAATAAAGAACAGTCTGAAAAACAAAAATATATAATTCTATTAACAAAGAATTGTAATGTCAGTCACCCAGGTGTTGACAAGTTCTACAAAATCAAATTAACTGCTATATTTTACTTAGGTTACCAAGATTTGAAATCAAATTAACTGCTACAATTTACTAAGGTTACCAAGATTTAAGATCAATTTAACTGCCATTATTTACTTAGGTTACCAAGATTTGAAATCAAATTAACTGCTACAATTTACTAAGGTTACCAAGATTTAAGATCAATTTAACTGCCATTATTTACTTAGGTTACCAAGATTTGAAATTAAATTAATTGCTATAATTTACTCTAAGGTTACCACGATTTAAGGTCAAATTAACTGCTATTATTTACCAACGTTACTAAGATTTTATTAACTGCTATAATTTACTAAGGTTACCAAGATTTAAGGTCAAATAACTGCTATAATTCAACTAAGGTTACCAAGCTTTGAAATGAAACTTAAAAATTGTTGATCATCTTTCAAATTCATGCTAACTACAACATTGCGAAAAATGAATCTCTATAAGAAATAATGAGACCCAAGTTCACAAATCATTCTCAGGCCTAAGTAAAAATATACTAAAAATTGTTCACCTTTATAAAACTTTTGTTTTAATGTATCAAATACATCAATAAGAAACTATGTGCAAAGTTTTGTTTTTCTGGATCAAAGATATTTCTCATAAACAGTGATTGAAATTTTAGTAAATTCTTAACTTGAGTCTGAGAATGCTTTGTGAACTTGGGGCCAGAGTTCAAACCATGATTCAACTGAATTGACAAAGATATTTCGCAAAATTTGGCATCATCTGCTGACAACACAAAAAAAACAGCGACACACCGAGGCTACTTTTCATAGTTAAAGTACTTGATTTGTAAAAGAATCAAATTACCTGGACATAGAAAGAGCTGTTCCATTCATTGTACCACAGACTGATACAGCGATTAATATAGGTATCAACCATGCCATTACACCCATCGTCTGACCGGCAAATGTCTGTCAAAAAAAAATTATACACAATTAAAAAATTATACAGTGGCAGAATATTCAATTCCAATTTTCAGATCTGGCCACAAGTTCACAAAGCATTCTCAGACTTAAGTTAAGAATTTACTCAACTTTCAATCACTGTTTATGAGAAATATCTTTGATCCAGAAAGACAAAACTTTGCACATAGTTTCTTATTGATGTATTTGATACATTAAAACAACAAAAGTTTTATAAAGAGCTATATAGTTTAGTTAAAATTAGGCCAACAATTTTGAATAAATTCTTAACTTAAGTCTGAGAATGCTTTGTGAACTCGGGGTATTTATTTAGTTTCTGAAATATACTGAGACCCATTAAAAACGTAGCACTTTTATAACTGGATGATTTTAAACTTTGTTTGAGCAATATACACTATCATGTACTGTAACAACATCGAATCACAATGCTAATTTTTTCTGTGTTTGAGAAAATTGATCTCTTCTTGTGTATTTACATGACAAAGAGAAGATCCCTCACACGATTTAAATATCAAGTACAACAAATCAAAATTGAATTCGACGAAATAGTAAATGTTGAAAATCATGATTTATTGGTATAAAATATGGCTTTTAAAAACTTAGGGTCAGTACATACACCTCCATCTTCAATAGAAGACTTGATCTAGCTTTAAATCTGTACATTGTATTAAGCCCTTCACGTATTACCCTGCATATTTCGGCACTAATTTCAATTGGCTACTGACCCAGCTGGGGGGCGTATAAGATTCTGCGATCATCGAGAATACCAAGTCAGCACATTCCAGCAAAAATGTCTACCTGTGATAATCGAGTTGCAAAGTTCAAGGTTCGTTTAATGTCAAGGTTTCCGTGGAGGTTGCCATGTTTGATTTGAGTGTGTTTGCGTCACAATTTCTGATTGGACGCTATTGTTCACGTAGCTATAAGTTTGGGAACTGCAGAACAGTCTAGCAACGTCTAGATGTTGTAACACCTGCGGTCGTGGCTTTAGGAACATGATGCAACTCATACATTTCTGTGGAAGATGCAAGTAGATAGTCATACACTGAGAAAGCACCACTGCATCATTCAAGAAGGCATGAGTATCAAAACCGCTTCACCATTTCGATTTGGGTGTCATCACACTATAATCCAGACAGACCTGGATGATACGGGAGAACACAATCCTTTCCATAATAAAATTATACTAACCACAGCCACAGCTGTTGATTTCAGCATCTGTACAGGTGTTAGAACTGATAAATAGGCAATATTAGCTACCAGATAAACTACTATTACTATACACATAGATATCAATATAGCTCTTGGTAAATTTCTATAAAATAATACAATATACTTTAAACACATACATCATTATACATACTCATAGATATGAGAATAGCTCTTGGTAAATTTCTTTAATATATAACATTAATATTATACTTAAATTACATGCATGGGCTGTAGAGTTTGGTAGCTCGCAGACCAGCCACAAGAAACTCAGTGAAAATTTTGTATGTGCAGGACCTAAAGTCCTTGCGGCCAGTCTACGATCTTCTACGGTGCCGAACACACACATTTCCCCTGTAGACTGCCCATAGTAGCATGTACAGTGGGTTGTGAGCTAGGTTTTAAACATATACATAATCATGTTAGCTATGTAACTTGCTCACACAAGAAATGGTACCAAATATTCTAGAAAGATAAAACATATGAATGAAACGTCTTATGCGAATACTAATCGAGAACCACAGTGGCTAAGTGGGTAAGACGCTGGTTCGTTAGCCCGAAGGTCGCGTGTTCGATCCCTGCATTTACCGAGAAAGTTCATCAGGATTTTCCGACGTGGTTTCCCCATGTTAGTGGTGTAGGCTGGAGAGCCTGAGGACAGCTGTCTAGTCGTTTGGATGGTATGAAAAACCTAGGTCCTGTGTACACATTGGGGTGCAGGTAAAAGATTCATTGGCAGTTGGAATTTAATATAAGAGTCGGCCATAGTGCTGCTGCAAGGGCAAAACTTCCCTCATAGCACACTGTATAGCATATGTCCGTCTTCATTAGCTCAGTCAGAGCAGAACAGTAGGGGGGACAGAGAGAGAGAGAGAGAGAAATGGGGCTTTAATGTCCACTCAAACCAAACTAGGTCATTTCGGGACTAACACATGGTACAATTTTATTTTTCTTCAATATTTCGCTATGGGCGTAGGGGTCTTTAGCAGTGGGGGGAAACCGGAGAAAACCCACGAGGTTGGACAGATAACCCTACTCCTTGTCATGTACAACCGGGGAATCGAAACGACACCAGTTGACTCAATGACAGACCTTATGATTCAGCCATCCACACCCCGCCCCCAAAGGCCAGTAGTAGGACATTAAAACTCATCTCATTTAATTTAATTTCATTTCTAATACAACTCTCTTTATTTACAAAATCCCAAACTGCGGCAGCTTTTTTTCTTAAAGGAAAGCAATTTGGCAAATAAAAGAAAGCTTTTTTCTCTGGGTTTAACGGTCAAATAAAAGAATCAATGACTGCTTGTACATGTGTGCAAATATTACATGGGCTTTTGTAAAAAAAATATCGTTCACTGAATTCAAATATATACTACACTTACTTGTTGGGGTTAACTAATTCTTCTGTCAAAAAATTTAAATAACTCCTGTATAAAAAAGAAAAGAACCTTTTTAAAAAAAAAGAATTGCACTCAGTGATTTTAGAATCTATCTTCATATTTTCTCTAAAACTGCTGATTACTACAGTAATCCAAATGTTCACAGGACTGAAAGTGTTTATCAATATGGTAGCCTAATATTTTTGATGTTTCTCTTCGAACTCCATTTTTTGTGTCACTGTTTGATTTAATGACAGATAGTCCAAAGAATACAATGATCAATATTGTAGCCTAATATTTTTTATGTTTTTCTTCGAACTCCATTTAATGACGTATAATCCAAAGAAAACACTTATGATGTTATGGAGGCATCTGTCACGTATTAAGATAACGTGATACTCTTGTTTCATTTGGTCCATTAGAGACTGTCATTCCTGTCTTTGTAAATAATGATGTAATTATTTCTCTTAATTCTGTTCATTATCCAGGGCATACTCTAAATCATATATTCCTTATAAATTCTGGTAATTCTCGGCACTGTCAGTCTGCGACTGTATTGGAATAATTTCTGGACAATAATATTTTTTAAATAAAGAGTATATGGTATTTTAGGACTTCAATACGGTAGACTGTCTAATCAAATAGAACATTATTTATGGATAACAATTACTATGATTTATTAAACTGTTTGATAACTACTTGAAATCTTGTTGTAATCAACCATAGCAATTGTTATTCATAAATAGTGTTATATTTGATTATGCCCCAATTACTAAATGCCATTCAAAGAATATACAGTACAGTGTCTAATGTCCAATTTTCTGGCGGAACACATGCATGTACTTACTTATATACAGAGGACAAACCCTTCAGATTTCAGTGCATATTGTGATATATATAAAATTGTTTTGATTCAGGCTACAGGCTAGATTATTACATCATAGAGATGTTTAATCATTATTCGCATGTGTAATACCGGATGACACATCAAAGATAACCTGATTCACGTCTACAAAACACCATCAAAGATAAATTGGTAACATAAGATTTATTGAATCCTTCATCTCTATGGGTAGCTGTGTGTTTCATCAACACATAAACTCTCACATTATTTGTTGCCAAATGTAAATATTATATATTAGTACATTAATTTTGTAGACTAGAAATGTATGTAACGGATTGACATTCTCATTATGGACAGTTGATAGTGTGAATTCACTCCTGAAAGGTCATTATGGATTAAGTTGGATTATCACAATCTTATTAAAACACAGATCCTATTTCGTTTCGTTTTTATAGTTCACAATTTCGTTTTACTTGTCTTTACTACACTTGGATCTGGAAGAGTTGTTATTTAACTCGTGTTCTGAATGGTGTCAGGGATAAGCCAATGAAACGGTCTGTTACGGCGAGCTTTAGGCGTGTTTTGCACGGAACTGTGGGTAATCCACTAGTAACATCAATGCTGATTGGTTAATCAAATGTCTGACGTCATAGGGTCATAAGTCGGTCAGATCTTCATGTAGTGTAGGCCATCAAAAGTATAAAAAAACGAAACGAAATATAGATCTGTAGTTTAATCAGATTGTGATTATCATAGACCTTGTGTATTAACATGCACAGACTTAGAATTTGTTTCATTCCTATGACTAGTTCTTGCTTCTTATGTAAATAAAGCTAATATTTACAACACTATAAAATCTGGTAGTGACTGATAGTCGTGTGAGCGTGATTTGAGCCCCGTTTCTCGAAATCTTAACTTAAGATAAAATCCAAATTTTAGTAGATACTTCAATTTTGAGTGGTGAAGTACGAAAATAAATCTAATATTATCCAATCAAATTACTAAAATTTTATCTTCGTTAAAATTTCGTGAAACAGGCGAGTGAGCGATATAGGAATCTGTTGCAAACTACAGTATTATAAAAAGTTAAATCTCTAATAGAAATATCAGTCTAAAAATGAACTGAAAATCCATCCCTATGTAAATGGTATTCCACTATCTCGGTTTAATTTTTTTAATTAAATCCTAAATAATCAATCTGATTATCTGTTAGTGTAAGCATAAATAAAGCCATGATAAAAGGGATATCTTCTGAAAAATCTAAATCATGTGCAGTTTCTTAAAAGGCAAAAACCTATAGGCTATTTACATGTACATCATAATTATATGACACTTGTGATGACTTTAAAATAGATATATACATGCTAATACAGCATAGAGACCTAATTCAACAAGTTAAACAAAAGTTAAAGTATTTAAAGGTTTGAGTATCATTTGCATTTTTGCTAAATATATCAAAACTACCATGCTAAATGTGTACTGAGATTGATTATTTAATCAAGAAATCAAAATACCAACGCTAGATAATCTACTAGTTTGTATTCAATTTTATTTATTTAAGAGAGAGAGAGAGAGCGAGAGAGAGAGAGATGAGGTTTAACGTCCGACACAAACTAGGTTATTTTGGGGCTAACATGGTGCAATTTTATTTCCATAATTCGCTTGCTCGTAGGGGTCTTTAGCAGTGGGAGGAAACTGGATTATTAGTTGATTATTTAAAAAAAGGAGTGTTTTATGTATAATTTCAGAGAGAGAGAGAGAGAGAGAGAGAGAGAGAGAAATGGATACAAACTAAGTCATTTCAGGACAAACACATGGTTCAATATTATTTCAATAATTCGCTTGTGCGTAGGGGTCTTTAGCAGTGGGAGGAAAACGGAGAACCTGGAGTAAAACCCATGCGGTCGGACAGGCGACCCTACTCCTTGTCACGTACAACCGGGGAATCGAAACCCCGCCAGTTGACTCAATGACAGACTTTATGATACAGTGCGCACATGCTAACCATTCAGCCATCCAACACCCCTAATTTTATTTAAACTTAGGCCTACCAATAAAAGATAGCGGTGTCTTGTTACATGTGAGCAGCATAGATTGATGTGAGAGAGAGAGGGAGGGTGAGAGGGTTTAATCAAGTTTAATGTCCACTAACCATTGGCTATCCAACCCCACATAGATTGATGAAATTTTAATTTATCATAACTTTGTAAATGATTAATGGATATTCCTATATGAGATCAAGTTTTTACAGTATTGTAGTTTTCAAGAGATTCTTATAGCACCAAATGATTTATCAAGTCTTTAATTATGCATTTTTAAAATATGTATATGAGTATTTTGATTTAAGACAAAAATCAGTGGAATAATTTCTGATAGAAAAAAATTTGCAAGGGGTTTGTATACTTTTCATAAATATTTGAAACTGAGATCATGCTCTGCCATTTTACAGGCTATTTTTGAAACAATCAAATTAACATAGCATTGTAAGGCAAGAAATATAAGCCCACCAAACAACATATTGCAGTAAACTGGTCACAATTCTATAGAATACAATTACTGCAGGGTGTCTTTCAAGTTTCCAGGATCCGGGCCAATAACCACACATATGTAACAGATAGACATATCAACAGGGTACTTTCTTAGAGGAGTAGCCAAACAATCCCAGCAATTTTGTAAATGTGTTCTAAACTGAGAGTCAAGACCCTTGGGCCTCTTGTTATACTACAACATAGACCACAATGATCGAGGGTTAATTCATTGGTCACAATATCACTACTGGTGATCGTATTCAATACTTCCTTTAGCAGGGGGGGATCATGTGGCTAAGTGGGTAAGACACTAGCTCGCTAGCCTGGAGGTCGGGTGTTCGATCCCTGCATTGGCCGAGAAAGTTCATCCAGATTTTCCGGCGTGGTTCTCCCTTGTCAGTGATGCAGGACGGAGGGGCTGACAAGGAAAGCTGTCTAGTCGTTCGGATGGGACGAAAAACCGAGGTCCCGTGTACACATTGGCGTGCACGTAAAAGATCCCTTGGCAGTTAGAATTCGATATAAGAGTAGGCCGTAGTGCCGCTGCCCGGGCAAAATTTCCCTCATAGCACACTGTATGGCGTATGCCCGTCTTCATTACAAGGCGAAGAATGGCACCTAAAGATGATTCTGTCAGTCTATTGCGAAGACTGTTTTTTATGATTTTCATCTGAGAAAAATCTCTTTCACAGTCTGCAGTGTGTGGAGGGAGGACCTTAAAACACTTGGCTAAAAACGATACCGTGGGGAAAGTTCATGATAAATCGGGATCTGTACATAAAGCCTCAACAACCTCACTGGTAGTCTTTGTGCCCAGGTGGTCTCTGGCGTAAGACTTTAATACCGACCATTCGGACGCAGAGTGGACACAGCCAAATCTCTGACAAAGAAGCGCGTAATCATCACAACCTTGATGGTAGTTTGGTTTAAAGATTGAAAACGATTCCATGACAGGACTGTCCACAAATCGGTCATTAATATTTTGTATAAGTGTTTCAAGAAATGGGACCTTCATGGATTTTTCAAGGGATGATTTTGGGGTTTCACCTGAACAAATCTCACTATTCTTTCTTAAAACATTTTGACTTCTGATGGTTATATCGGCCTTTCGCAGATTTTCGATGTAACCATCAATTTGCTTTAGATAATCACCATCGGCAGTTTTTAACTTTTCCAACTCCTTAATCACCGTCTGTTTGACCCTTGTAACAGTTGGGAAATCAACGTCGGTAGCTTGAAATGATTTTGATAGAATATTAACAACAGGTAGGACATCACAAAGAAGAAGTAATGTGAAAATAAAGCGATAGTTACTTAGGAATAATGCAAGACCAGTCGCCATTGCGTTTCCCCCGCTCCTCGGCCTCGCGTTCTAAGCTACATAATACACTGACTAATATTCTACGTAGGCGTTGAACACAGTTTCCCATGCTTAACCAACGAGTTGATGAAGGCTGCAATACTTTCAACTCGGATTCGTGGAGCATTTTCTGTACGGAAAGAAGACCTGCTGACCTAACGGCACTATTGTCATAGAAGTCATATAATTGTCTAAGCATGTCTTTAAACTTTTTAAGGTAGGGATCAACATTTGCAGCCTGTTCCGAGGCAAGATTTAGTTTGTGTGCCGCGCAGTGACATCCAATCGCTTCACATTTTGGGGAATTGTCTGGTTGGGCATCTAGCTGTCGAGTTTGAATTTTCTTAACGACCCCATTGACTCGCCCAGTCATTACTGATGCCCCATCAGTGCCAAGTCCTCTTAGTTTGCTAAATTCCAAATCATTTTCAATAATATAATTGATCACATGGTTAGAAATAGTGGTGGCGTCAAGTGTTATTCGAGTTTCGTGTGTGGGAAGACAGTCAATCATTTTCAAAAATCGAACTTGAACTAAACCATTATCCTGTATATAACGCGAACGTAGCATCATCTGCTCTTTGAGAGAGCAGTCTGTCGTCTCATCAAACATTAAAGCCAAATGTGAACTTTTGCGAATATCATTTAAAATGTCTGATTCTATAATGCTTGACATGGTATATAGGATTTCTTGAATTGATTTCCTACTAGTATAACACGCGTTTCTACCGACCAATATATTCTCCTTCAAATTATCACCAAGATATCCTACAAAATCGAGTAGAGGCTCAAAATTAGTGGTATTGGCTATCCGTTGTCGGCACAAAAAATACAGACATGCAAATGTTTTGGTTAAATAATTTTTACATATTGTTGGGACTATGGCAACACTTATATTGGATTGTTGTGAAACTTCTATACTGCACTTTAACGAATCTTGATGGGTAACACATGATTCATGGTCATTTATACTTTCTAATCTTATCCGTTTACATGGAGTAATAATCCAGATATCCCGCTATTTTTAAACAATAACGGTGCCGTAGTCTAGTTTAACCAGTCATGATAGTTACATCGCACTAATGTGACCAGTTAAAAGAGTCTAAATATCAGATAACTCTGCGCGTCAAATAAGAAATCGAAAGTAATATATTTCCTCGAAAACGTATATTTTAGATGTCTACTATGATACGAGGCCAGTTTGACGCGAGTCAAAATAATTTATTCAATTTATGAGGTTAAAGGCAACAAATAGAAACGCTTGTACCAATTTAGATTATCTTTATTTACAAGAAAATGAAGGTGGGTGGAAATCTGTTTCAAGATATTTTTGCCGGGCGGACAATATTGGTGCTGGGCGGTGCCACCCGGTAATTGTAATAGTAGGCACATCCCTGCTTTAGTTTAAGTCTTTATGTGATATTATCATATATAACCTCAAAATAAACTTGAATAAGCTTACTTCACTCATTTTATGTAGAGCTTTTGATCTCATATTGTGACATTTGATACAAGTAGGTGAGCCAAATTCACAACCAGCCAACATAATGACCTTCACTCAAGTGAACTGACTCATTCTAGTGCCACTATAAACAGACCAAAGCATGATGTGTTTAAGTAAAAAACAATTCCTAATATATTAGCTTTCATAAATGAATATTTTTAACAACAAAACTATAAATTATAAAAGAAGAAGTGTTTATGACAACAGAACTCAAAATATTAAGATTTCACAGTTTTCATAAAACAGGTTATAATACTACAATATGTTAGCTAAATTATTGATTTAAATTACAACATATAAGTGTTTTTACCACGACCCAGATCAATTTATAATGAATAATTTTACATTTTGTTTGTGTACACTATTTTATAGTTTAGTATTAATCTAGACATTTTGAATTATCTGTGATGTTTAGTGTTTTTGTTAGTCAGTTATTGATTAAAATTATTAATGTAAGTTACAGGTTTATTAGGAAGGCGTAGAATAATCTCTGTAGTAATCTCAAGCCTAGTTCTCACTTTCTGGGGAAGGGAAGAGAGAGGGAGGGGGGTGGGGATTTAATGTACACTGGATACAAACTGTATGATTTTGGGACTAACATATGATTCAATTTTATTTCAACAATTCAAAAAGCAAGTATGTGTAGGGATCTTTTGCAGTGGGAGAGAAACCCAGGAGCCTGGACAGGAAAACATGACCCATGTACAACCGGGGAATCGAAACCACGGCACTTGACTCAATGACAGACCTTATGATCTAAAGCGCAAACATTAATTTAAACCATTCGACCACCCAACCCCACCACAGTACACATACCAGAAACTTTGACTCAATGATTAGTAGCATTGCACACATGAGCGTCTAAAATGACTGAAGTATTGCGTTCACGAGACACCCAATTCAATTCCTTCTCATTTTCTTTAATCATATTTAAAATTTACTGATTTTTTAAAATAATATAATAAACATTTTCTTGGCAACATCCAAATCCAAAGTAATGTATTACAAATTTCATTCAAGTCTTAATTAGTTTCAATCTGTCTTTATGCTGTTTTTTTTTTAACAAAAGTTACAGTGAATTGATTTAATAAAGAAAGTATAAGTTGTAAACAACAGATGTGATTAAAGTCATATGATACATACACTGTAAGGTAATAATATATCTATATTATTATAATAAAAACCTAATCATTTCTTATTGGTATTGATTTGTAAGTAGGAACCATATCAAGTTTTCATTATATTTTCTGATTAAAGACTAATGTTAATAACTACATGTAATTGAATAAAACTACATCTGTGAATAGTCTAATAAAATATGAGCTTAATTAGAAGTGATAAGTACATACATGTGCTTATCTGTTTTTTCAAGTAACAAATCCAGATCCAGGAGATAAAAGGCACTTAACAAAGCACTGCTTAACCCCCCTCCCTTCCTCCCAATTACCATTATAACCACATTGCCATGTACTGATATCTGCAGGTTGCATTATGAAGCAAAAGCATCCCCCAATAACCACCAAAACCACATTGCTATGGCAGCTACAGATACCTACAGTTAGCACCATGAGGCACAAAGCACCCCCCACCCATATTAACATTATATATTATAACCACACTGTCATTGTCATTAACAATATATACATAATAATAATAATAATTTATTTATAATGCGCCTATTACCACTATAAAAATAATGCCCAATGGCGCAGTTAACACTTTGTGGACATGACATATTATTAGAAAAATAAAATAAAATTAACTGAATGATAAAAGAAATTAAAATGGCATACGATAACAATCAAAATATGGTAGTAAAGATTACAATAAAACACGACATGTAATAAACAAATTAAAATAGCTAAAAGTAATAAAGAATAAAATAGAACAGCACCTAAAACAGTATACAATGAACTGGGATGCCTGCATTAAAAGCCATAGTAGTCGGGTTTGGTTGGTAGTGGATCTAGTGCACACGATGCAGATCATAATGAACTGGACAAAACTACTTTGTTTATCTAAAAGTTCTGATAACACCTGGTTGTAATATTCAATTTGGATTTCACAATCCGAAATTGTTTGAAGATTTGAGAGAAGATCACTCTGAATAATATCAGCTTTGAAAGAGGCAATATTAATGTTTCTAGTTTTCCTAAATTTTAAGATCTTCTTTAATGGAGGCGGTTTTTTAGTCAAAATTTCCCCAAAAATACAGAAATGATCAGAAATTTGTTTGTCCTGTACACTCACTTTATCAATAATGTTATCAGTCTCGCATGTGATAACAACATCTAAAAGGTGCCCTTGTCTGTGTGTTATGTCTGTAACATGCTGTACAAGGCCAAAAGAGTTCAATATTTTACGGAATTCGTCAGAAACAGTATCATCAATATTATCAAGATGAATGTTAATATCACCAGTTATAAAAATCTTACCAGGTTTAGAAGATAATATATCCAATAAAAGATCCGAAAATTCACTAAGAAAGATACTATGTTCTATTTGGCGGACGATATAAGCACACAAGATGTATTATTATCATTGTTGAATTTGAGTCAGGTGTGAAGAACTTCAAAACTTTTGTAATTAATGGCTGAAGTAACCGAAGATATATTTAAAGTTTTCTTGTAGTATACTGCTAAGCCACCACCAGTTTTTGCACCACTGCGATTAAATAACACAGAACTAAAGTTATTAGGAAGTAATTGATTTAGTACCAAATTATCTTTAGCTTTAAGCCAGGTTTCAATGGCAATAAATATGTCAATATCATTGTCTATAATTAATTCTTGAATTTTATCGGTTTTATTTTTTATGGATTGACAGTTCAAGACACAGAAATTTACTTGATCACACTTTTTATCTTTACTATTAACATCTAGTTGTACTAAATTAGTAAAATCTACTACCCTTTTCCCTCTTTTTCTGGGCTTGTTTGATATTTTGACAGGGATACAATTTCCTACACCACAGTTTAAGTTAATTAGATGGTCAGTTGATAAGAGTTCAGGAAATTGTTCACTAACAACATTGAGGATAGGAGAGTTGTATTGTTTTTGGTTATAATCCAGAGATTTCAGCTCACTGAAACTGTAGGTGATCATCTCTGATGATTACTATTCACCACTATACACTGTCAACTATGGGCTATTTTCATCCAAAATACACATTAAAATATGTTATAAACCAAGTCCATGCAAAAAATAACTAGTAATAATAGCAGTTAAAACATATAAAATTACTAACAACTAGCAGACAAGACACAGTGCAACCTCTTGGCAGCCATCTTGATAAGCTAAAATAACCACATTGCTTTCGCAGCTACAAGAAAAAGCAGCTTGCAACATCAGGCACAAAGCATCCCATCCCCTTTCAATTGACACCTGGGGGGTTGGATGGCTGAATGGTTAGCGTGCGCGCGCTGTATCATAAAGTCTATCATTGAGTCGACTGGCGTGGTTTCGAATCCCCAGTTGTACGTGACAAGAAGTAGGGTCGCCTGTCCAAACTCGTGGGTTTTCTCCGGGTCCTCCCACTGCTAAAGACCCCTACGCGCAAGCGAATTATTGAAATAAAATTAAACCATATGTTAGTCCCGAAATGACCTAGTTTGTGTCGAGTGGTCGTTAAACCCCATTTCTCTCTCTCTCTCTCTCTCTCAATTGACACCATTATAACCACATTGCTTTTGTAGTCCATGTACCATGAGGAACACAATCTGATTAAAGTACAGATCTATATTTCGTTTCATTTTTTTTTATACTTTCGATGGCCTCTACCACATGAAGATCTGACCGGTTGTAGTGGAAAGTGGCATCAGAGGTCATACAAACGGCTTTTGACCCTATGATGTCAGACATTTGATTAACCGATCAGCGTTATGTTTCTAGTAGGATACCCACAGTTCCATGCATTGCATGCCAAGAACTCACTGCAACAGACCTTTGCATTCGCTAATCCTTCACATCAACTAGAACGCAGGTTATATAACAACTCTCCCAGGTCCTGGTGTAGTAAAGACAAGTAAAACGAAATTTTCAACTATAATAAACGAAACGAAATAGGATCTGTGAGATTGTGAGAAACAAAGTTTAATTGACGTATCTAATATGCATATTATATACAACAATGTACATTATTCATAGTGTCTACTCTAGTCATTTATAATTCAAACTTACCATCCTGAATAAGCCCAGAAACCAGAGTAGAAAGATAAGGCAATAGCTCCAGCACTATAATCTGTTCCTTCAAAACTATTGGTAAAATTTTCTCTGTCTCCTGTAAAATATTACAACAGATTTCATAAATAGTATTCAAATCAAAAGTCTAAAAACGTACCACAATTTAGAGTGTGTTGTGAATTGTGATATTTTGATTTACATGTAGTGGAATGATGTTGTTGATGGATGTTGTTGTTAAAGATCGATAATGCTGAAGAATAATGTTGTTGATGAATGTTGTTGTTAAAGATCGATAATGCTGAAGAATTATGTTGTTGATGGATGTTGTGGTTAAAGATCAATAATGCTGAAGAATGATGTTGTTGATGGAAGACATGGAACTATATGCTACTAATTGTTGATGTTAATCTATGATGCTGTTGAAGGAAAATATGGAATTCATGATGTGCTAGAGTTTATAAGATAAAAAATGGAAGTTGATGGGGAATCAAGATGTTGATGAAGTGGAACTGTATGATAAGGAATTGTGATAATGATAAGGAATTGTGATAATGATAAGGAATTGAGATAATAAGGAATTGTGATAATAAGGAATTGTGATAATGATGAGGAATTGTGATAATGATGAGGAATTGAGATAATGATAAGGAATTGAGATAATGATAAGGAATTGAGATAAGGAATTGTGATAATAAGGAATTGAGATAACGATAAAAATTGAGATAATAAGGAATTGTGATAATGATGAGGAATTGTGATAATGATGAGAAATTGTGATAATGATGATAAATTGATAAATTGTTCATTTAAGATGAATTGTGATACTATTGTTTGTTCACATAAAATTGATCATCTCTGTACTCAATCTGCATAATATTTCACACCTATGACCTACCTGTTCCCAAATAAATAAATCCAATGATGACCACAATGGCTAAGGCTACTAATTTGGCCGTTGTAATAACAACCTGCATTCGTGTCGCCCATTTCACGTTTCGTCCGTTGATAACTATAAGTAAACCTGAAAATATATGGGCATATTAAAACAAAAGAATTATCAGACCATTAGAGACATAATTTCCTCTCCATAGCCAAATTTCAACAATACTGCTGATCATGTATGTTTAAATTGTATCAAAAAAACCCCAAAGAATTGGAGTAATACTTTTTCATGAGAATTGATTTTGCAGATAGCAGTGTGACATTTCCCACGCTTGAAATTAAGACCTCAATTGTACGTGGGTGGACTTGTCTACACATTCTATGAACCTAAACCTGTAGATCTACAGTTAAATGAATTGGGTTAACATATTTAATATCACATGTAACTAGCCATTTAATTTATGCTTAAAATAGGAACAAACTATGCAATAATTTAAAAGTCTTTCAGCTGCCATTATTTTATACCTCTCTTTATTCATTAACAAATCTAAACTCCTCAATGTGTGGTTAAGTTAATTGGTCAAAAGCGAGACATTATAAAGTAATATACCGGTATTGATATTGCACGAGGGCATAAGACCGAGTGTTATATCAATATATTACACATTATCTTGCTAGAGACCATTTAAAATACTGACACATTCAGTTACATTATACACATGTACACTATCTTACAATATGCATTTTAATGAAATCTTCACACGAGTCCAATATTTCATCTAGTACGTGTATAGTCTATGATTGGCAAATTGCCTGTACAATATTTGAAATAAATGGTACGCCAACATCAAAGGATGAGGCTGACCTTAAAAATATCTTTGTTTCGCCTAACGCGACTGACTAACTAAAACCACCCCCGACTTAAATTATTTTATTGCACTTTTCCGCAATCTTTTTATTTTATTTTGTGGGTCAATCTGAAATATATCACGAGAGTTATTTCCCTTTACTATGGCTATACTTAGGGGTAATTGGGTTTGATTCATTATTGAAACTGGTTGATCAAGACAAAAGCGTCATAGGTGTCGCTTCTCAACAAAATGGTTGCAGACGAAAGCACGTCCATTCTCACGAAATGATTCTGCCTCTATGTCTGTGGGGCGTCGTTTTAAACATGACGACGATATTTTCAATATCCGTTTTCGAGAAAAATAAAGGCACAACCCGCACGATCGTTAGAAACGTGTTGAGGGAGTTTCAAACGTGAGTGTGTTGCAATTTGTGTGCGAGTCGTGCATCAAAGATCAAGAAAAATCCCGATGTCATTGATTTGTTTGCCAATAAAAGAAGACGAATGTTTGCACCCGGAAAATTATCAAGCTGTCAAATTAGCTCTTAAAAAAAAAAATCTGAAAAAAAACCCGACCTACCGACCCTTCTCCTCGATTGTGGGTCGGGTTTGGTGAAACAAAGATATTTTTAAGGTCAGTCTGATGTCACATCTATATTCAATAATTAAAGGCAGATAAATCAGAAGCTCTGGGTTCAACCCCTGTATTTAATTAGAAAGTTACGCAGGATTTTCCATTCTGATTTCCAGGTATTAGTGACATAGGATGTAAGGTCTGGCAAGGAAAATGTATAGTTGTTTAGATGGTACAAAAAACCAAGGGATTGTGGATACCACTGGCAGTACATTACATATCCCACTTAATAGGTCATTGAGACTTAAGTTAATCTATTACATACATCTACATTCAATCACCAAGCAGATTATTATTAACTGACCTTAGGCTTGATTCTTTCATGTCAAATTTTATTGCATTATTATTACCAGCTATATCTACTTTAAAGTAGCCAAGTCTTTAACTTAATACAAATACAAAGTCTTCGACATTGAAAACACACATTATTTGTCAATTTAAATCAACACTGATGCTGTGATCTTACTAGGAAAAGATGGGATTCTGATATCCAATATTTTACAGACAAAACAAACATTTTACCATTGGTACATGAATCGTGTACCATAGTAATGCGTTTCAGCGCCATTTGTAACATTTACAAGGGACTCAAAGAAGAAGGCTAGACATATTCCACAAGTCATGTCAAACGGTGACCTCATATTCTTATCTGGAGAACATGCACAATAAATACTATCAGTATAGACTGGAATAACCGGGCACTAGAGATTGCCATTCAATTAAGACTTCTGGCGTACACGGTACATGTACAATGTATATTGCCGAACATAACTTATTTGAAATTAGGAGTAAAAACGAAAACAATTGAATGTAAATCAGTTTATATACATTCATATTACATTATTATATGTGTTGCGATTCATTTGTGTCAATTTTTAGGTCCCTAATATTAGCGATTTAGCTCCTATAAACGTGCATAATGCAGGAACTAAATCTGCCTACCAGTATTGCAGATCTTCCTTTGAGCCTGAAATGTTATCTAAATTATTAATTGGTCATTAATTAACTTATCCAGACCACAATCAACTCTCAATGCCATCGTTAGCCTGCAATATCTAATGGATTTGAATACATTTTGTAATGGATAATTTAAAAGTAAAAATGAAAATCGAGACTTTGTTATCATACCAACGTCAGTAATGACCACCGGGATTAGCCTAAAATTCAATTGCTAATATCTCAGTTCAGAGTGTACATATCTACATGTAATTGCACAGGGACATCTTTCTATTACATTGTACATGTTTATTATAATCTTTATTACAGTAGATGTTTAGCTATATCTGATTACACAGGGACATCTCTTTGTATTACATGTACATGTATTAATATAATCCTTATTAGATGTTTAACTTATTGTAGTACCGTACGGTAACATAGACTCGTCTATGGAAATTATCTGTATGACATTTAGACAGATTTTATCATTAACAGAACACAGTTTTTATGGGAAACAATCACTGGAAAAGCATGACGTTTCGACAAGTATCCTCTTATCGTTAGAATAAACCAGTGATTGTTTCCCATAAAAACTGTGTTCTCTTAATGTGTTTCCCAATCGCTAAATGCCACTTAAAGATCAGATTTTATAACACTTAAATGGCAATAGCGCTTGTACTTTTCATTGGATGATTTTAAAAACTTACACACATGGTTTTTTGTCCCATCCGAATGGCTAGATGGTTTTGCTAATGCCAGTCCTGCACATCACTGACATTGGGGGTGGGGTGGGGAGACCAATCTGGAAAATCTAGAAGACTTCCTCAGACAACACACGGATGAATGAAAACAAGAACTTTTTGGTTTTATATTGAGCTACCGTGGTTCCTATTGAAATTAGACCAGAGGTTTGAGACAAATATGCCAATCTTTTCATTTAAAGGTGTATCAAGTTCTTAGAACTCTTTGGAGGAGTTTAATCAATACTTTTTAAAAAGTTCCCACCAGTGCTTGGATGTTTTTTTCTAATTTGGCGATTCAAAAAGGTACTTTGAATAATTTATTACGGTACCAGGGCCCTTATTCACGAAAACTTAAACTAAGATACAATCGAAATTTTAAGAAATACTGCAATTCGATTGGCTGACCAATATGCAAATTGGATATATGCAAATTGCATATTGGTCAGCCAATCGAATTGCAGTATTTCTTAAAATTTTGATTGTATCTTAGTTTAAGTTTTCGTGAATAAGGGCCCAGTATTGTAAAGTTAGTAATATGTGGGTATAAGATATACATTCCAATACGGGTCTAACCCAATAGTGTACAACTGAAAACCAAATATTAATTCATACTTACACACTATACAAATTGCAATAAGCTTTGTAGCCATAGCAGGAATTTCACAGTCCGGAAATAACGGTTGTAATATATACACACAGCAGATTAAACTTAAGGCTGCTATACCCACGGGACAAATTAACAAAAAGTTGATCCATAAAATAATAAATCCCATGAAGTCACCAAATGCTCTTTTTACATAAATATATTCTCCACCTGACTGGGGTATGGAAGCCCCTAGTTCTGCATAGCACACAGCACATAATGTATTATAGACGCCACAAATAACCCACATAACTAAACTGAATCCCACTGATTTTACATTCATTAAAATTCCAACAGGTGAAACAAAAATTCCAGAACCAATTATGATTCCAACAATAATTGATACACCTTGAAATAAAGTAATTTGCTTTTTTAGTTCAATTTTCTCTGATGTTGTTGATTGAGACATACTGGGTTCTGCTCTTCCACGCCCCATATTTAGAAACTTAGTTGAGTACCGATAAACACCAGCTACAAAAGTCAATTGAGTGTAAATAATTTACCGATACCAACCGTAATAAATAAATAATATCCAGTTTCAGAATGACAATTTGTCAATTGAGCAAATATCTTTTACTACGTTTGGATCACTTGATCTCGTTTAAACATTAAAAAAAAATCTAACTGATAACCTCTTCGATATCAATGTAGTCCGATACAGTGTTATAATTCATGTAGGTCTACTAGATCGGCTAACACTATATGTAGATAACGGTAAGACGAGTCGAAGTGCTAGTGTGAAGTTCAACAAATCTATCGCCACGTGTTTTCTACACAAAAACAAAATACCGTCTGCTTCAGTCTAAATCAACTTGGCCTGTTGAGTCACTCCGTTAGTCGCCCGTGTTTATCGCTTCTTTGGGCTGGTTCTCCCGTGTTCTTTTAAAATAATATTGAGCTGTAGATTTACATTAGGATAAATAAGGTTACGTATGACCAGACTCAGGCTACAAATGCGATGTTGTTGTGAATAAATCTGGCTTCCCGCCAACGATTCCCAGTCAATGAATCCGTGTGAGTTACTTACTCTTGACAGGGAGAATTCCTTTTAAGCCGTAAAACAAACTTCCATAATACCTCTTAATAGTAGATAATAAGGCCTGATGTTAAAAAGTTAATTAGTACTTAGTTTATATCTTTGTTACTAATAAATAGAACTTTGACATTAACTGTTCAAACGTATGAGATAATTAATAAGAACTTCAGCCTGGGGTTAAACCGCCAATTAAATCCTTAACAATAGACAGTGTTGTTATTTACAAGTGCCTAATTAATAATTCTTATTATGTAAGCACTAATTTCTTTACACTCAGTGATGAATAGTCTAAAT